AAGGGGGGGGGGGGGAGATGGTATTTGCTTGCCTCATTCTATTGTAGAGGATAAAATGTGTCAAGTGCAGGGAACCAAGCCCAGCACAGAGTGATACTACTAATTAGGCACGTGACTCTTATTACTCTGACTGTGAGGTGATTGATTAATGACTCCCACTCCTCCACCGAGGGACTGAGCCCCTGCCACCAGGGACCCTGTTTCTCAGGCCACCGTTGTGAGCTGAAGGCGGGCACAGAGCAGGTGTGGCTAGATGCAGGCTGCCTACTGGAGTCAGTGAGTGTCTAAGAGAATGGCCATGTCCCCACAGGCTTCCATCATGTCGGGCACTGTGCAGAGTGTGGCCCTCGAGGGCAGGCCTGGCCTGCGGCCCTGGCGGAAGAGCCGGGAGTTCCGAGCCTCCCCCAAAGAGACGCAGGAGCTACTACTGCCGACGCCCTTGGAGATGCACAAGGTGGGCACTAGGTGTGGGCACCGGAGGCCTGGATTTGTGTCTTGGGCCATGAGACCCGCCTCTCCAGGCTGTGTTCTCCATCATGAAGCAGGGACTTTGGACCAGGTTGGGTTTTCCAAAGCTGTCATCGTTTGAGTGGTACACAGGCACATGTGATACGCACGCACATGGGACTGTTAGTAATATCTATCTTTAAGTAGATACTTTTCCCCACCAAGAAAAATGTTTATTTATAAACATTGTGTATTCTTGCATACTTGAACTTCAGTCGGCTTCAAAATACTCTCCGTTTGATGCAATACATCTATGGAGAGGCTTTTTTCACTGCTCAAAACAGTTTTTGAGTCATCCATTTTGATGCCTTCTAGTGCTTCTGCTGGTTTTGGTTTCACCTCTCTCACACTGGCAAAACGTGTCCCTTTGAGGACTTTTTTCATCTGGGGAAACAAAAACAGTTGCTTGGGGCTAGGTGAGGTGACTAAGGAGAGTGGGGGATGGGGATCTTGCTGTTGTGGGCCCAAAACTGCTGGACACCCAGCCGGTGTGGCCGGGGGGCTCAGAAATCGCCTGTCATGAACCGGGCAGAGGTGTTGGAAGAGTCTCCAAAAAAACTCACGGTCGTGGAACACAGCCCCTCACGATGCTAGCCGGTGTGCTGCTGCCGCCATGGGGTCCTCGAACCCTTATCTCGCAGGGGAAGCCTGTATCACAAGGGGCCACCCTCCAAAAGATGATTCCGGTTGCTTGGGGTCCCCCTGGTATTTGTAGTCTCACACACATCATATGCACATGTAGCATGTAAAGCCTATGTGTTGTGTGTGTGTCATCACACGTGTCCCACGTTTCCTTCGCCACCTTTGATGAGAAGCCAGCATCTGGGCCACCTGTAGGTCTCCTCGTGAAGAATAAAACACGGAGGTCAGCCTCCAGCCCAGCAGCCACGGCGGCCTCTGAGCCGGAGGCGGCTCTGGTAAATGGGAGGTGCCCCAGCGTGCGGGTGGTAGAACCACGCCGGTCCGGCTTCCTCCCCAGAAAAAGGACTGAGAAAGAACCGAAAGGGAAGCTGCTTTCAGGGGCCTCCCCAGAGCTTGAGCGCCTTGGCCTGGAGGATGTGCCTGGCGGAGAAGGGGGAGGGACTGCGCGGGCAGTGGCTCGGGGGCAGGAGCTGGGCCCGTGAATCCTGGGGTGGCGGCCGCTGGCCGTGGCGCGGAGTGCAGACCAAGGGACTGAGGCCACTGTGGGAGGCTGGGGCCAGAGGCCAGCGTTCCAGAGCCCCCCCTTCCCAGGTGACCCTGCAGCGAGACCCCGTGCGGAATGACTTCGGCTTCAGCGTCTCCGACGGCCTCCTGGAGAAGGGCGTCTATGTTCACACCGTGCGCCCCGACGGGCCCGCCCAGCGTGGGGGCCTCCGTCCCTTCGACAGGGTCCTCCAGGTAACGCTGGGGCAGGGGCCACGGGGACGGCCTTGTTGCCACCCCAAGGGAGCGGCAGCGCAAGGTCAGCCCGAGTACGCGCTCCTGGGTTTCCTCGGCCTCCACTCGGCGGCGGCGGCACGGGCATGTCCCTCCAAGCTGATTGGCCAGAGCCGGGCGTGTGAGCTGCCCACCTGCAAAGGCGCCTGGGAGATGTGGGGTGCCCCGCGCTGGCCCCTGGGGCCGCCCTTTCCCAGGCTCCAAGCGCTTGTGTCCCCGCCCCTTAGTTTTTACAGTATTTATACTAAATCTCCCCGTTCGGGTTTTCTCTGAATTGATGGGGCTCTTTCCCTGCCTTTTATTTACTTTTCAACATTTATTTTGAAAGGAAAATTTTCGTGCCAACTGGAAATGAGAATCTAGCACTCCTTCCTTGAAAGGGAAAGTTGGCTGGGCACCGTGGCTCACGCCTGTAATCGCAGCACTTTGGGAGACTGAGGCAGGAGGATCGTTTGAGCTCAGGAGTTCGAGACCAGCCTGGGCAATGTGGTCAGACCCCGTCTCTGCAAAAAATACAAGAATTAGCTGGATGTGGTGGCACACTTGTAGTTCCAGCTACTTGGAAGGCTGAGGCAGAAGGACTGGCTGAGCCCAGGAGGTTGAGGCTGTGGTGAGCCATGACCATGCCACTGCAGTCCAACTAAAAAAAAAAAAAGTAAAACACAAATAAAATAGAAACAAGGCAATGTCAGGAAATTATAGGCAGGAGACTCTCTGAGTGTGTGGTCTGTTATTTTTTGTTGTTTTGAGTTGGGGTCTCACTCTGTTGCCCAGGCTGGAGTGCAGTGGCACCATTATGGCTCACAACAGCCTCTACCTACTGGGTTCAGGGGATCCTACCTCTCAGCCTCCTGAGTAGCTGGGACTACAGGTGTATGCCACCACACCTGGCTGATTTGTTGATTTTTTTTTAATAGAGACGAGGTCTCACCAAGTTGCCCAGGCTGGTCTCAAACTCCTGGGCTCAAGCAATCCTCTCACCTCAGTCTCCCAAAGTGCTGGGATTACAGGCATGAGTCACCATGCCCGGCCTGCTCTGCTGTTTTGTCAGAAAGGGAGCGAGGCAGGTGTTGGGATATGGAAGTGACACACTAGTCCCTCTTTGATAAAAACCTACCAGGAGAATTGGGAGAGAGTTAACGGGTGAGCAGCTTCTTCTGTGAGTGTGGGAGATGCACCCTGTGTCAGGGCTGGCCCACGTTTTGGGAGACATTTTGGGAGATCACGACCCCTCCCTTCAGCCCAGGTGAGCTGACCCCTTGGCTCTGTCCTCTGGGCTGTGCCCCCTGCAGGTCAACCACGTTCGCACTCGGGACTTCAACTGCTGCCTAGCAGTACCGCTCCTGGCTGAGGCGGGTGACATCGTGGAGCTGGTCATCAGCCGCAACCCGCTGGCACAGGGCAGCCGAGCTCCCCGAGCACCAGGCCCCAGTAGTCCCCGGATGCTCTGAAGTCGACATGTGGTCCAGACTCCTGAGGGGCCGGTCCTGGCTCCCAGAAATGTAGCCGGGTTGGAGAAGCGGCCGCCCACTAGTCCATCTATCGCTCTGGTGGACCAGAGCCAGGGATGAGACTCAGTCTTTGTTCCCCAGTTCTGAGGTGACTGGGGTGCCAGGCAGTGAGGTCCCCACCCTGGCTGGGGTGACATCTGGGTCTTCCACCACATTGGGTTTCCAAGATACCCAGGGGAGACCCTTCTGAGAGGGGTTGGCCAGGCTGCCCTGCTGAGAGGAGATTGGCCAGGGGCTGCCCTGTCCCGCAGGGCCTCCTTGGAAAGGCCCCAGGTGCAGGGAGCACGCTCTCCCAGCAGAGCCATGAGCTGAAAGGAGCTGCCAGGGAGGAGTGAGTTCCCTGTCACAGGCAGTGAGCTAGCGGGAGCCGGATGCCCCTGGGCAGTCATGAGTTGAGTGTGAGGCGTCTAGTGATGCGTCCACCTGGGCTTGGGTAGTTCGCCTCCTTGAGAAGGAGCCACTTCCTCCAAAGACCCTACCACAGTGAGTGGGTGGGGGGTTGCTGCTCTGCGTGGGAGCCTGGCTCCTCCCTCCTTCAGAAGGCTAGCATTTGGGGCTTGCTGGTCCTGTGGTTCCAAGCATCCGGTTCCCCACTGTAAGACTCCGAGTGGGGCACCTGGGATCCCAGGGAGTGTTGGCCCTTTGTCTCTGAGTCCAGAACTGCTGGGACTTGCAACAGAGCTGTGAGCCCACTGGGCAGGCTCTGTGCAGGCCTTGGGCGTCAGCCCCCGCTTCCTGCGCAAGACGTGTGGCTGCTTCCTATCTGCACTCCCCGCTCCCAGCCAAGCCCCTCTGTGTGGGAGAGGCTCATCTTGGGACAAAAGACCCTGCAGGTTCCTGTCGCCTGTCACTCCAGTGAAGATGGGAAAACCTGGAAACAGCTTGCGAGATGACCCAGATCCTCCCAATACCCAGATCAGTGAAGGGAGAGGGGGGAGAGGCTGAAGGAAAAGATGGGCATTCTCGCCACACCCAGCAGAGGGGCCATGGTGGCTGTTCAAGGAAGCATAGTCCCACAGGCATTCTGGAAGCACCAGCATCCCTTAAAGTAGCTTTCCTCAGTTTCCACAAATCAGAAACCCTCATCATTTGGGGAAGGACAGGACCTCTACCTGGTGGTCTGGGATGTGGTCCCTGGGGTGGAGGGAGCAGGTGGCTGTCGCCAGGCCTGGGGGTTTGCTCTGCCCTGCTCAGCTCCTAACGGGTCTCAGGGAAACGGGGGTGTCCCCTCCCACCTCCAACTGGGGCCCTGGAGGTGAGGAAGACGCACCCCATTCGAAGGACCAGACGGAGAGTTCCTTTCGCCCGGGGCCTGTGGCTTGCTTGCTGTGGGAGCCCCCCTCGGGGTCAGATCGCCCCTCTGAACAGTCAGGGGTGGAGCAGACACAGCCTCTGTCGGGGCCAGAGGTGCCTGGGCCCTGCCACAGTCTCCCTACGGGCCTGCCCCCTGCCCGACCTCCACTTCCCAAGCCCTCTCCCAAGGTGCCTCCTGCCCCTGGGCTCTCAGCTGTCTTGGGCTCCGTGTGAACGCCCACCCCAGGGTGAAAGGGTGCTGCCCACCTGTCACGGGACCCCGAGCCAAAGCCAAGAGCCCTCAGTGTGGGGGTGGGGTCGCACCGCAGAAACGTGGCTTCTGGCTGTGTGGCCCCAGGCAGGCGGCTGGGTCTCTCCGAGTCTGTTAGGTGACCGGGCTGGACAGGACACAGTCTCAGGGCCTCTCAGCTTGGGAAAGCTGCTTAGGCTCCAGGACTCCCAGGGAGGGCAGATGCTCCCGCCTCCGACCCACGCCCCTCCCTCCTCGGCCAAGGCCTCTGCCATTCTCCAGATGTATGCAATCGGGCCCGCGTGGACACCCAGCCGCGCCGCCGCCTCATATGCAATATTCCTTCTGGCTTCTCATGGGAACAGTTCATCCCAGACTTGACATTTCCCATCACCCTCCCCGGTGAGCGTCCTACCTGCCTATGCATTTGGGTGTAGCCCCTGTGACATGTCCCCCTCCACCCCCCAAAGCTGTATTTTTCTCTGGCTGAGATGAGAACATATTCCTTGCAAAGTATTTTTCTACACGGGTTTTCTCAGGGCTTGGGAAGCACAGCACGCCGAGGGGCTGGACCGCAGAGGGTGCGGGGGTGTTCGGGATCCACGTGAACATCTTTGTCCCAGCAGGGGTTGCCGTGACTTGGGGGTGGGTGCCATTGGGGTGATTTTTAAAAATAAAAGGTAAATGCACCTACAGCAGGGTGTCTGCCTTTCTCTCCCATCATCACGGGCTGGCTGGAGGCGGCCTCTGTGGGTCTTGCAACTCTCACCAGCTTTGGATCGGTTCATTCAAAACATCTTCCACTTGCTAGGCGTTGCGTAGCCCCTGGGCAGCATGAATCCTTGTGGGAGGAATGAAGTGCAAAGAAGACAAAGGGAGTGATGGGAGAGAGGGGCTGGGACAAGGGGCTCCAGCTCAGCGAGTCCAGAAGGGCTGTCCCCGAGAAGTAGCGTGGGATGAGACCCGCGGGTCCCGGGCAGAGGGCACAGCACGGCAAAGGCCGAGGCGGGCATGAGCTTGAGGGGTTCCAGGAAGAGGAGGGGCAGGGGTTGGAAGTGGCAGGGACCCCGCAGGAAAGCCCGGGGAGTCCGCAGGGGACAGCCACCAGGGCAGGATGGGGCGCCTGCTCCATGAGCCCCTTTAGTCTGGGTGGAGAGGGAGGGGCCAGCAGGGAGGCCTGGGCCTGGCTGCTGCAGGCGTCTCCAGAGCAAAGCGAGCTGAGGGATCTGGGGCCCAGAGGGCAGGGCCAGGCCCCACAGGGAACAGCGCAGAGGAGGAGCTCTGTCAGCTGTGCAGGACGCGAGTGAGCAGCCTGGCGCGGAAGGGGTGCGAGCAGGGGACAGATGGAGGAAGGCACAGTGGAGCCACAGCTGGAAGCCAGGCGCCGTTCTGAGAGCTGTGCAGGAACCTGCTGGATCCTCCCAGCAGCCTTCAGAGGACCATCCCAACATTACAGATGAGGAAGCAGGCGCAGAGAGGCTAAGCTACTTGCCCAGGGCCACACAGGTAGATGAAACCAGGATCTGAACATGAGCCACATGGCCAAGACACAAGGGGGCGGGGGTGGGGGGGCCGGGGACGTCAGAAAGAGCCAGAAAATCGGGTGGGGGCTACGAAGGAGTTGCTGGGAATTTTTTTTTGGCAGGAAGTTGGCAAAGGACACAGTAGCTCCCTCTCAGAGGGGGGTGTGGGGCCAGTTGGCAGGAAGGCAGTCCCAAGCACTGACCTGCTCCCAGAGAGGAGGGGGCGGGACAACTGGGTTAGCACTCCCGCTCCCCTGCCACAACCCTTCCTGGCCTTGGCTCCACCTCTCACCACCCCAGTAGCTCGGATGGGGACAGCGGTTTATTCCAGAGGAGAAACAGGCTCAGGCGACTGGTGCCAGAGCTCCCAGCTGCACAAGGCTGGACGCGCAGCAGGTCGAATCGGCAGAACCAGCCAGAGGAGACGCAAGAGTGTGTGGATGTGAGTGGGAGTCCAGACACAGAGGCTCGGTGAGCCCCGGAGCAAACCACTTCCCCTGTAAGCCCCACTCACCACTGCCCAGGACCACACCTGCCTGTGAGAAGCACTCTGCAGGGGACTGAAAACTCGCCACAAAATGGAAGAACTCACCAAAACAACCAGACGTGCTGGATTTTAAAAAGGAAATGTTTATTTTCATGTTATAAGGTGATTACAAACTCCTCTAAAAAAAGCAAAGATGAATTTAAAATATCGTATACGTATTTATCTAAAAAGCAAAAGAAGAAAAAAAGCCCTGCAAAATACAGGGATTCGTATCATAAAACATTTATACACAAAAGCTTGTATACTGCAAGACTGAATTACACACCAAGGATCTTGTTCATATACAAATGTTCCTCCTCAGAAGAATCTCTTGTTGGTTGATTTTTTTTTTTTTTACAAAAGTTTAAAATATCTTAAAAATATTTTGAAGTTAAAAAAAAATGTCCTGATGAGCCAGGCATATTTCTGGAAGGAGGCAAGACCCACGTTCTCAGCTTTCTCTTGTGCTAAATACAGAGTCACAGTTGTTAGGGACTGGGAGATTAATCGGGTAAAAAAAAAATGGAGCCAACATCTCAATTTGAAGCCAAATATATAACAAGATGCTCCATCCCTCAGGGAACACATAGGAACATGTCTGTAGTGACACCCACAAGAGAACAATGAAGAATTGCTTCCTATTAAAACAATATATATTGAGGGTCAGGCATGGAGGGGGAAAGAGAAAAAGGGGGGGAGAGAGGCTGCTTTCAGCGTTGCCCACCTCTTGCTATCCGGGCTTTTTGTTTTGTGGTTTTGTCCCGATGGGCTTTTGTACACAGTGGTATTTACAGCACCCACTGAACAACCTGGCTTAGGGCCGCCTGGCCCTGGGTCTGAGGGAGGCATGGGACTTCTAGCCACCTAGAAGGGATTTCTCTGGGGTCCTTTACCGGCTTGCACTTGAGTCTCAGGGAGCAGCAAGGTGCCTGTGCTGTTAGGTTGGCTACCCAGAGCATTTCCCCGTCAGGAGGGGCAGTGGTGGGAGATGCTGGCAGGGCTGGTGGCACCCAGGGGACGTAAGAATACCCCGAGCTGGGCTGGGGAGCACGCTCTGCTTCCCCACTGTCTCTGGGGTGTGCTGAGGCCTGGGACGAAGACCGGAGCCACGGCAAAGGAGCCGCACCAGCCCAAGGGGTGTCCTAGGGGGGCATCTGAGGCGACCTTCTGCTGCCTGGGAATTTCCCACGTAGCCTCGGGCTGTTTGGCGTGAGGGGGCCTTCACTTGGTCCTGCCAGAGGTGCTGGCATAGCAACTGGCTTCTCCGGGGCTCAGTTTCCTCTTGTGCAGACAGGGCTCTTGACTGCTAGCTCACGGAGGGCTGCTCAGAGGGTGCCTGTGCAGGGCTGGGGTGGACAGGGGCTCGCCCAGAGCCACCCGGCTCTCAACCAAAGTCTGGGGTCCAGCGGGTCGGGAGGATGGTCGGATGGTCGGAGGGCAACTCACGCGGCCTTCCTCCTCCCTGAACGCGGGGCGGTGCTTCCTGCTCATTGAGGCTGGTCTTTGGTTGCCAGGGGAGGCCTTGCCCTTCTCCCTGGACTTAGCTCTGGTCACGCTCGCCACTCCCCGCACACACCCGGGGAACCCGCAGCCAGAGCTGACTCAAGAAAGTCTCGGTCCAGTCCCGGCTCATGGAGCCGCGGCTTCCCTATTTCCACAAGAGCACTGGGTGAGGGAGCCCGGAGGCCTCTCCCTCCCTGACCGCCGGGGACTCGTGGACACAGCCCACTTTCGTGCAGCACCTCCCTCGGTGAGACTCATCCTTGGGGCCCTCTCCTGCTTCTTCATCTCCGAAGGTGACTTCCCACACTCCCTGCGTTTTTACCAGATCTGGTTGCCTGGGCTATGCATGGGCATCAGGATTTCTAACCTATCCCAAGCAGAGAGTGGGCAGAGGGTTCTGCCCCTTCTCCGGAGACAGGCGGACCAGTCACGAGCTCTAGTGAAAATTTTCATTTATAGGAGACATATGAAAGTTGGGCACCATTACACATTACGCACAGGGCCGTGCTCTCAGACGCGAGAGCCAGGGCCGGGTGGGGTCAGAATCGGAGCCTGGGGGACACTGAGGAGTGGCTTGGGAAGGCAGCTGCCCTTTCTTTCAGGCGGGGCCTGGGGTGGGTCTGCAGGCATCTTTGGTCTAGAATTTGGTCTGGGAATCTTGTGAGAAGAGGCCTTCCCCAGGCTGCTTCCAGAAGTGGCAACGTGCCTGCCAGTGTGAAATCCTGCAGTCCTTCACCGGAGCGAGCCCCAGGGGGAGATGTGGCCCAAAACAATCGCAGATGCCTGGGCAGCGGCTGCCAAGCCCCTCCTCCCCACGTGTCTCCTGTCCTCAACCAATGACAGTGGTTAGTTTGCTAAAGTTACATCATAAGACAAAAACAGGTCACAATGCTACTCGATAAAATCAGGGAAGAAACAGTAAAATCAAATCAGACACAACAGCAATCATAAATACACAGAAACATAGGAACATGTCAGAATCGCTGACAGTCTGGAATAGGATTGGGTGTTGTCTGGCAGAGTAGACAGCTTTGGAAACAGTGAGTTGCGCTTCTCAAAGCGAGGTTCAGAATTGCCCCTGGGGGGGCCGAACGCTCCTCCTCCTCCTGGGTTTGGGGAGGAGCGCTCCAGGGTTGAGAGTCCCTGCAGTGAAAACCCAAGCAAGGCTCCACCCTGCGCACCACGCCCGGCGGTCACTGCCTTTGTGCATGACGATGTTTCGGTTTAGTTTCTACTGAACTTGGAAGTGACTGTTCACATGGCACAGTTTAGGTCCAAATGGGGCTGGGGTAGGGGTGTGTCTGCACGCGGGACTTTAAAGGTGTCGAGCCTTCTCTCCTGGCTCTGGAAGGATCTCTGGCCCACACACAACTGTTGTCAAGCCAGTACTGGGACACAGTCCCTGACCACCCCAACCTTCTCTGCAGTCCTCCGTGGTGGCTGCCCGACACTGGCTGCCGCAGGGGTTTTGAAAAGAAGAGCTTGACTCTATCACGGGACACTACTGAGGGTCACCCTGGGGCCTAAACCGGGAGGAGGATTCTGGGAGAACTTTCCGCAGTGAAGATCTGGCCTTGGAAGCTACACTTGGCCACCCTGTTGGGTCTAGGGAAGCCCTGTACCCTCACTGACAACAGCCTGTCGGGAGTCTCCCAGTTCTGGGAGCCGAGGACAAAGCAGAGGGGGGAGAGGTGAGGAAGGAGAAGCCTCTTCCCAGCACCGAGCCGTCAGCACGCCTGCTCGGGGCCCACGTGCTTCGGTCTCCTCGCCTCTGGCCTTACCTCTTGTCCAGACACAGGCTCATGCTTCACTCCAAGTGGCCTCGGGAGACACCGAGACGCTGCTCGGGGAAGGACCTAAACCTGCCATGATCCCGTCCAAGTACCACAGACTCATCTGAGCCCTGACACCCGGTTCCTGCTGGGCCAGCCTCCAGCCTCTCTCCTGAAATGCCCCAGGGAGGACCATGGCCTCCCCTGCCTTGGCCATCTCTTGTGAGCCCAAGTCATGAGCTTCATTCCTGCCAGACCTCTGAGGTCTCCAGCTGCTCCTTCTCAAACCAGTGGTTCTGACGGTCCTGCGGCCTGTCCACCTGCCGTCTCAAAATGCAGTGGGACTTTGCTCCTGGTACAACAGTTGCTACTGCTCCCAGAAGGAGACTTCTGCTGTGGGGCTTTTATTGACTGGTTGGCTCATTATTTTGGCATCTCTCTTCTTGGCTAAGGGAAGTATAATGAGGTGTCTCTTCCGGGCCCCCTTCCCTCCCGCTCCCTCAGGGTCTGCCAGCCAGCAGGGCCCTCTCCTGCCATCTCCTCCACCTGAACCAGGCTTGGGAAGGTCCGACACCTTTAAGACAGGTCTGCTGTCCCAGGACAATCATCCTGCTTTTTCTGGGCAGAACTTTCTGCCAGCTACACAAGCACCGAAGAATTGCTTTTGTAAATGAGATCTATTGCTGGCAAGATTGATTCAAGTGGCGAAGTAGATGACAATCTCTAAGTGTAGATATACTCATATGTAAAAAAAAAATACAAAGAAAAATTTACCAAGTTCCCAAAAATACATCTAATTCAATATGAAAGCTCTGCCTCTCCCCGGACATCTGCCCAGGGGTTTTCTTTTTATACAAAATATCCCCAAATCAAAACAAAATACACACACATACGATACACACACTCACACACACATACACACAATAACATCTTCTGTGACAATTACCAAAAAAAAAAAATCCTAGTGCAAATATAAAGCTCTGTAAACCTGGTCCTATGAGAATCTAATGTTAGTAAACAGCGGGAAAGCGGCCGGCCCTGGGAGCGCTCACATCATGGTCTCCACGATGATGTGGGTGGGCTTCATGAGCGCGCCGTTCATGACTGTGCGGGAGTTGTAGGGCGTGGCACCTTCGCGCTCCACGGCCCGACGGTTGGGTTCCCGCGGGGTCATCAGGTACTTGAGGCGCTGGAGCAGACAGACAGGAGCGGGAGGAGCCCGTAAGCGGCCTGGCTGGTCATGCACCCCGGCGATCTGCCCCCTCCTGAGCTGGTGAGTGTGCTGTCTGGTCTTTGGCTAACTACCACCCTCTCCGGTCCTCTCACTTTTGTTCTTTTTACAATAAAGGAGTTGAACTAAGGTGCTTCTAAGGGTTTCGCTAGGCCCTGAGCAGACTTCCTGTGGGTAGTTTCCTTGGCCTACCTCCACTTATACACACACCTCCGGGGACAGGAGACTCAATCTCTGTGTACTGACGTCTTTATCCCATGGAACTGAAACATGTCTCTCTGGAACTCACCCCCTGCCCAGATGTCTCTGCCTTGCAAAGCAGCTGAGCTCCTGCAACATATATGCCCTAGGCTGGATGGCTGTCTTAAGTCTCAGGGCTCCCATCTTCCCCAAGAAGAAACACCAAACACCTCAGCATCCCTCAAGCTACATGTCCTGCTTCTGGCAGACAGGTCTTCCCTCCTTCCCTGAAGGCGTCTCGTTCTCCTGGCAGGGCTGATGTCTAAGGGCTCAGAGACCACTGCTTGTATCTGAGCTGCCCTTTCCAGGAGAGGAACTGCATGACCATTCTCGCATCACTCTGGGGAGATGGGTTTTGTACTCCCAGCTGGCGGCCGGATCATGGAATCGGTGAGAAAGAGCCCTCTCCAAGGACACCCAGAAAATCATGGCAGAGCTGGGGGACCTGACAGAACCAGGGCTTCAGCCTCCCAGCCTGGCATAACAATTGCTATGAAAGGCAAAGATGCCTTCAAGAAAGCCCCAAAAGGAAGGGGGGGGTAATGGTCAATGGTCATCAACCCACCTCTGAGTCCACGATTAGAATAATCATCACTGCAAAAGTCTATCAAGTTTCCTGACAAAGGCGGCCGAGAGAGGGCCATCCAAACTCGGGACCACATTACTGCAGTCCACCTTCTAGCTCATCGTTAGCATAATAATCGTTGTAAAGATACACCAAGCTTCTAGTCAAAAGCAAAGGTGTGTTCTTTCTCTTAAGACTCCCATGCCTATCAGGATGCCTCCTTCTCTCTCTCTCTCTCTCTCTCTCTTTCTCTCTCATAAACTATTCTTGGATCCGCTCTGAAATTCCTGTCTGTGGCAGGCCGGAGAACCCATGCAGTATCACACTACACCCCATGTCACAACAGTGGGAGTCCTGAGGGGCACGTGGGGAAACACAGACCAATGGGAGCCAACTGTCTCGGGGGTCTTTGACTAAGTCAGGCTGGCACACGAGGACAGGGCACCAGCGGAGCCCACCCTCTTCCACTCCCTCCTCCTTCCTCCTCATCAACCCCACGCTGACCACACCTCTACACATGGTCTGAACCAATGCTTTAAAATTAGGCTTTGAAGGGACACTAAGTTGTGACCTGTTGGATGTCCCCCCAATTAATGGTGATTGCCATGGGCACTGACCAATCAGAACAGATCTCTAGAGACCCCTGCTGTGCCCTAACTAGCCCTCTGACTTCTGGGCAGTGAGGACATTCTGGAAATTCTGGTTGGGCTCCCTGGAGTACTGCAGGGCACCTGGAAGGCTCAGGACAGCCACTCCTGCCAGTCTGTTCCCAAGTCTGGCGTTTCGGTTAACGACTGACAGAGCCACCCAGCATTTGGTTCAAGGCTGTTTGGGGTCCTGCCCTCTGTCCTCCAAAAACATATAATGGTTCCACTACTACAGGAAGACTCCAGGGGCCTTCCCAGCTAGACAGACCAGGCTTCAAGTTTTCCTCTCCGCCTGCTTCCTCTATCACCCGTCTGTCCACCCCCGGCAACAAAACCTCCAGGCCTTCCCCTGCCCAGGAGGAAACAGGACCCAGCCCAAGAGGGAGCCAGGGCCCCCGGACATCCTGGCTCCAGATTTTTAAAAGAGAATAACAATAAAAACAGCCCAGAACAAAATAGTGCAGTCTTGGAGGCAGCCCAAGCCCAAAGGTTAAGGGAGATTCTGAGAAAAGAACTTCTTGGAAAGAACCCGGGCCTCTGCCAGGGCCTGGAATCTCTAGCACTGTTGGAGGAACTTCTGAGAGGAAGTCGGAGGGGCCTGTGGGGAGGATGCTGGCAGGTGCAGAGGCCAGAACCAGGTTCTGCCTGGGAAGAGGTGGCTTCTGAGGGTCGGGCTGTTGCCACAGACCTAGCGGGGCTGACAGTACGGGCTGGGATAGCCCCAAACTTGGCTCCAGAGGAGAAGCAGGTGGCTGTCAGTCCCTCCCCACGCTCCTGTCTCACCTCAGAAACGACCCCCCTGTGCCAGGATGCAGCCCCAACTCTTAGCCTGGAGTCCAAAGCCACGTCACCTCTCCAGCCTCATCGCCGGCACCCCCGCCCACCATACTGACACCAGGAACACACCGCCCTCTCTCTCTCCCCACCTGCAAATGCCTCCTCAGCCCATAGGTCCTCCTTGGAGGCCACCACACAGCCTTCTCCCAAGTGAATTGTACCTGGTTCCCATTTTCCCACAATGCACTCTCCTGTCCACAATCTCAATCGCTCCATCAGGCAGGTGAGGGTTCTAAGGCTCAGGGAGGCAAGCAACTTGCCTGAGGTCACACAGCAAACCGACAGCCAGTCGGCTGTGGCCTCGCACCTCCCGCCCCCCCAGCCTTGGGTCCGCATACTCACCACGCGTAACGGCCCCTCTGTCTGGCAGAGGCGGATGACGATGACCAGGGGGACACACAACATGGAGGACAGGGCCAGGCCCCAGCCCAGCCCGATGGCCCAGGTGGGGTACACGTAGGTTTTGTTGTAGGTCAGGGGTATGTACTTGACGAGCGAGAAGACGAAACATCCCTGCAGAGAGACGGGCAGTGAGCAGAGGAGGCCGGGCGGGCCCAGGCCCAAGGGGAGGGCCTCTCTCCTGGCGGGGGCGGGCTTGCGCCTCCCACCCCTCTGCGGCCATCAGGACCGCCCCCTCTGCAGACCTGGCCGGCGGCTGCCCTGCTCAAAGCCCCCGTGGCTCCCCAGTGCCTTCGGGACGCAGCCCCAGCGCCTGCCTGTGGCCGGCAAGGTCGGCCGAGTGGCGCCTCCCCTCCCCCTCCGCTCCCCTTGCCTCTGGGTCGACAGCCACACGGCTTCCTTCGGGCGCCTCAGCCACTTCCTCGGGGCCTCAGCACGGGCTGTTCCCTCTGCCTGGCTCTTTTCCCCCATGTTCTCGTCCTCCTAACTTAAGCTCCCGGGCTCCTGCCTCACCGGCCCCGGCGGCCCCAGACCTTCCTTCCAGAAAGCACGGGATAATCGTCTCGTCTCTTCAGCACAGCTGTGAGTCTGACAGCAGGCACGTGTGTGTCTTGTCCCCTGCTGTTTCTTTCCGTTTTTTGCTTTGAGTTGGGGTCTGTCGTTCCAGTGGGTGTGCAGTGGCATGGTCATGAGGATCGCGGCTCGCTGCAGCCTCGACCTCTGGCGCTCAGGTGAGCCTTCCATCTCAGCCTCCAGAGTAGCTGGGACTGCAGATGTGTGCCACCACACCGGGCTTTTTTTCCTTTTTTTGTAGAAACGAGGTCTCAGTATGTTGCTCAGGCTGGTCTCGAGTTACTGGGCTCAAACCATCTGCCCACCTCAGCCTCCCTGAGTCGCCACAAGCCACCATGCCTGGCGCCCGGTAGTTTTAAACCAGAGGTGCCGCTTCAGGCGCACATGGCAGGTGCAGCATAAATGTTGGCAGCATGAACAAAAGCCTTTCTTCTTCTCCTCCGCTGCCCACTTCTCCGTCCCCATCCTGAGCAGAATGATACCCTGGACGGGCCTGCAGGACACGGTATGGACCAGGGCTTTGCTCTGTTTGGCCAGCGCTGCTGACAGCCAGGGGCCGGCAGCAGCCATGAGTGGTGGGGTGGGGTCAGCCCTGGCCTCCAGGCCTGCTCACAGTCCACCTTGCCCCCTGTGAAGCGCACCCAGGGCTGGGGGGGAGTCCCATGGCCTCTCTTCTGGTCAGAACCAGCGCCTCTGTGGGGGATCCCAGGGTGGTTTTGATCCATCCGCACTGCGAAGATGGCCTGACCCCTCTGCCCAGAGGTGTGGCGTGCTGGGGAGAGGCTGCAGGCACCGTCGCCCGGCCACCTGGCGCACCTGGTCCTGCTGACGCTCTGTCCTCACATGCGGCGGTGGCTGGGGCAGGTGAGTCCCAGGAGAGGCTGCTCGGGCTCTCCCAGGAAGTAAGCTCCATCAGGACCCGCCATATCACAGTCCTCTTGCACGAGGTGACCTCATGCTGCCACCTCGGAGTGTGGTCCACCTCTGAGCTGTCTAGGTCGCAGGGAGGGAGGGCACAGGAAACCGAGGGCCAGAGTGGGGAGGATGAGAACCTGGGCAGGCCAACTAGAGTCACCTCCATGGCAAACGCGTCAGCCGCCGTGGTCGCTGGCTGCAACGGCCACTGACTGGGGAAGCAGGAATATACCCCTCAGAGGGAAAGGCCACTGTCACACAAAGCAACAGGAACAGCCTACGGTGTCAGCCGCCACTCCGGTCCCACTCCAGAGCCTCCTCACTGCACAAGTGGGGAAACTGAGGCCCAGAAAGGGCAGCGACTTGTTTGAGGCCACCCCGCGAATGAGCGGTGGTGCTGACTGCGTCTGGCCTGAGAGCAGAGGTCACCGAGGGGAGGCCGGCCATCCCTCACGCCTGGTTCCGAAGTCCAGGGACATTCCAGCCATCTGTGTTCCCCCTGGGGCGAGTCAAGAGCAGTAGCAGATGTTGTCTCTCTGGCCACGGGCTCCAAGGTCACCACGGTTTCAGCACCGACGGGTCAGCAACTTCGGCGGCAGCGGATTCTCCACTCACAGGCACCTCGGAGTAGGACCTTGAAGCACCAAGGCAGGTTCTGAGACGCCGGGAGAGCCCTCGCAGGAAGAGCAGTGTGGTGTGCAGCTGCACTGGGTCCTGGCTGAGTGCAAGGCTTCCTGGTCCTGGGGAGCCCTGAGCGCCTCTCTGTTGGGGCTGCCCCTCCCAAAGCCCTCCTACCCCGCCACCGACACACCCACTTCCAACGGCTGTGACCTCTGCCTCCAGCATTCCCAAGGCCCCTCGACTCAACAGTGGCCCGGCTGAGCTCAGGAGGGTGTGTTCTCAGCTGTGGCGCCCACAGCCCCAGCATGCCCAGCTGAACGCTGCTTCTCCAGAATGCCTTGTCTTGGCGCGTGCCTTGTTCCTCTGCCATGAACACCCTTCCTGTTTTCGCCTCCCAGAAAGCTCCTACTCATCCTTCAAAACTCAAGTCTAGGTGACCCTCTGGCGCAGCGTCCCCCGCTCCCAGCAGAGCTGAAGCTGGGTGTACCACGAGCCTGCACGTGGTAGACGCGCAATGAAAGACGGTTCAGCAGGACAGGTGCCACGCCCCGGGAAGGAAAGGGGCTAGCCAGAGCTGGGCTGGGAAGGAACTCACAACGCAGAGAACTGGAGTGATCACAGCCCAGCTGTACTTCATCCAGGGCCCGGGCCGGTAGCCGATCATGTCTTCAATGCCGTCATAGAAGTTATCGCCGCCTGCAAGGGACAGAGAGGCACGTGGAGCGGCGTGGCGTCCCAGGCCAACACGGGCACAGCAGGGGCTCAGCGGCCATGAGGGGGGTCTCTGGGATGTGATCCAGACACCCGCATCTCAGGCCTGTGTGGGGCAGACATTTATAAGAAATTCAAATGTAATTTGGCATCCCGTATTTTTCTGACAACGTTAAACACACCCCAAATCCTAGCACAGCCAATCCAGGTCTCAGGGAAATCAAAACAGACCACTCCTGAACCCAGGGAAGGTCAGTCTAGACAGACCCCTGCAAAGCAAGTTTTGAGTTTGTCAAAACATACACTCACAGCTGGCACCTTCCGCACGGGGAGGGCCTGTGAGATCAGATATGTGATGTGGCTACAATGATACCAGTGGGAAGTTCTAGGTACAGAGAGCCTCGGAAAGAATTCCCATGAGAACTCTCTGCTTCTGAAGATCCTAAGAAGGGAAGGTAGAGGAGCCCAGAGGAGAAACTCGAGAACAAATATGCAAAGATCTATACTTACCATATATCCAGGCAACAACAAAACATTCAAAGAATGCAACCCACAAAAGGCATACACCGCTAGCTGCATAGTAGTCAAAGAGTTGAAACACATACATGCCACCCTGTGAAGGAAAGAAATCACAGAGGAGTTTGGTTTGTTATTTGGTCTATAAATCCCATCATATGCAAAAAGTTCTGGTATATCAATAAGAAATGAAAACCCAAGAGAAAAATGAGCACAGGGTGTGGTGATCAGTAAACGTATAAAAGACGCTCAACTTCATGTCTGATTAATGAAATTAAACACACACACACAGAGAAAAATAAAAGCAACACATGTCTTAGCAAAATGAAGGGTCCACTGAAGCCTGCTTCCGAAGAATGTGCTTTATGCCAAATGTGGCTGACACAGAAGCCTCCAGTGACACCCAGTCATTCTGCAGGAGACCACAATCTGACTTGCAGCGGGGATGATTACAGACCCCACTAGAAAGAAATGTGTGCTTCTGGTCATGTGAAGTGGTGAAGCCAGGCCCAGAGCTGGGTCTGTCTGGGGAAAGCTGCTGAAGGCAACCCTCCCCTGGGATCACAGCGGGGGAGGGGGGCAGCGCAGGGGGGAGCGTGCGTGGGCGGGGCCCTGAGCAAGCGCTGGGGCCCCTTCCTCCGGGCGTCCGCTCCCTCCTCACCTGGCTGCTTCTTGCCGGTCCTGCTCCCTGCACTCTGCTTCCCTCCTCCCCACGGGAAGCCTGTCCTTCTCAAAGCCACCAGCCCTCAGCACCGTGCACATTCCCGGCACACACACGTCCCCGGCCTCGGCCCCGGGGCCAGGCTCTGCAAGGTTATGCACCCTTGGGTGGTGCTGCCTGCCGTGTTCACAAGGAGGCAGGCCTGTGTTTGCCCACAGAACGTCTCCACAGCCCCAGGCCTGGGATGAGCCACTGCCCACAGTCGTGGGTGAACAGAGTTGGAAAAACGCATGTCCCCTGAAGACCCTCTTCCCAGCCTCAGAGGTCAGGCGGGGCAGCCGAGGCCAGTGCTGCCACAGCGGCAGCACAACACGAGGGCCGGCCTGGGTCAGCTCCTGGGCCCTGAGCCCGCTCCGGCGGCCCGAATGCCCCTGGACCGGCGGGGCCGGGGCCTCTCTGCCGGCCGCCGCCCCCGCCACGGCCGGGGGGGGCATCTGGGGCGCCAAGCCCCCAGGGAAGGCGAAGGCCACGTACCTCCGTCACCATCGTCAGCCCCAGCAGGTAGCTGATGCTGCACACGAAGGCGATGAAGACCTCCCGACGATAACCCTTCCTTAGGAAGGACGGGTAGAGATCAACCAAGGACGTGATCTGTCCTTCAACTTCAACAAACTGGGGGGAGAAGAGAGGACTGCTGAGCACAGATGCCCCACGCTGCCTCAGGGGACGGCCCAGCGCTTCCTACGTCAGGGCTTGCTAGCCTGGTCTCCCGCCGGCCACGCCTTGGAGCCAGGCCCAGCCGTGCAGCCCAGACGCCATGCCCACACTCAGCCCCCACACTCAGCCCGCCAAACAGCCCCGATCGCCACATCTCTGCCCGGCCGTTCCTGCCACCAGCGCACCCTTCCTACCCACTCTGAGACTCATCTTGCACCGCCGCTACTCTAAAACCGCAGCCAGCCCTCAGCCCCGGCACGCGTGAGTGTTGCCATAACTGCCCCTCGGTCTCCATCTTGAGGGCAAGTCTGGTGCTACGCTCATTCCTGGACCTGGAGTGTCGAGTCCGGCCAGACCCATGCGGCTACTCAGGATGAGCAAGCCGGCCTCTGGCCTCTGCATTGACTTGCGGGGTAACCCAGGGCAGGCCTGAGTCTGTTTCCCCGCAGGTGGTATGGAAGGCTGCTCGGTTCCGGTTCCCACAGCAGATTTCAACCCTTTGGGGATCACAGTCCAGGAGAGAACCTTGCATGCATGTAGGCGTGAAAGCCCACATGTGTGCATCTCACACTGCCTGCACCTCCAGGAACCATCCCTGGGCTCCCAAAGGGAAAGACCCAAGTTCAAAAGGTCTCCCCATAGGTGATGTTCTAAGATGATTCTCAGTCTTTGTAGGTCTTCCCATCTGTGTGACTAACAATTTATCTTGGAGACTGCTCCCTATCATGACACAGAGAGCTGCTTCATTTTATAAATGATGGAGTGAAACCACCCTGCAGACACGCATCTTCGTTGAGCTGCCAGTGCCAGTGACCCAGGTTTCCAGACTTGTGCAGCCACAGGCAACATCTTCTCTCCAGGTCTTTCTTCAAGCAGGGACTTGCCTCCAAGTCGTTAGATGTGTGTGCATGTGGCACAGGCTCACAGGTGGAGCTTTAGGGCTGAAGGGCGCAGAAGCACATTAACTCTGGATGACCACTCCCGACGGTCCTGCCAACCCTCACACCCGCAAGGTTGATCTGATTCCTTTAGGAGTGGAAAAGCTAGGACCTGGGTCAATCTGCCGCCTGCTCCGGGAAAGGCTTTAGGAGATGTCTCCCTGGCATTCCTACAAGGGTCATACCACAGGAGGATCGAGAGAAGGAACACAAGCAAGGAGCAAATCCCGTCCGCTAGGCCAGAGACAACTCCCAGGAACCCAGAAAAAGACGGCTAGAAGGCTCTCCAAAGAGCTCCGGGAGAAGGGCTGACTTCCTGACCTCGGCTTGGTCTGTCAGTTGAAGAGGTTTTGAACCCAAATAGCAACTGAATTATAGCAAACCCGAAGCTCCAACGTTACGCTTCAAGAGGAATTATGAACAAAGGTCCTTTCCTTTTCTGAGATGGGGCAATCCAAGGCAGCGTCCCTGTGAGTCAGCGCTAAGGGCCCCAAGTCCCTGATTTCCAAGTTCCCCGCACTCCCCCCAGGAATACCGCCCTCCTCCACCAGCCTCTTCAGCTCTCCCTACTTAGTAACCATGTAGCCCCAATTTCCCCAAGCCTGTTTCCTCTTCAGCAGGGATGCTGAGAAAGATCGGGTGTTGCCTGTGAACCCACGTCAGGGGCTGGGCCAGGCGAGCTCCGGGGAGGGCAGATGCACCAGCCCTCATCTCTTGCGGTTTGGTCACAAACCGTGTCCCCCTCGGGCAGCCTGGACAGCAGCAGGTATCTGCTTCCACACAGGGACCTCCCCACTCCGTCTCACCAAGAAACACACAGCAGTGTAATGGCTCCTAGGCCAGGTGGAGTGCTTTCGCCACGCTAAGGACCTCGGGGTACGATGACGTTGGCGTGAGACCTGCACCTGAGGCTGGCTGTGGGTCTCCACATGTTCACGTAGGTGAGCCAGCCACGGTGGGGAATTTCAAGGGGGAAGGCCAACAGGGACAAACCAGCAGGTGGGAAGCAGCGTCAGGGAGCAGGCAGGCTCAGGGTCCAGTACTTCACTCTTGGCGCGTGGGATTGGTCAGGTGCTCAGTCTAAGCCCCGTTTCCTCAGCCGTAAGGGCAATGGCATCAGGGCCCTGCACAGATTAAGGAGCTGATGGGCAGAAAGCCAGTGCAGGGCTGGGGGCACCGGGGAGTTAGTGAGTCATGGGGACGGAGCTCCAGTCTGAGAAGATGAAAAAGTCCTGAGACAGACGCTGGTGATGGCTGCGCAACAGATGAATGTGCTTAATCCAGAGGGACGCTGACAATCAACTGAGGTGGCCAACGTTGCGTTCTGGGTGCTGTACACACACATGCACACAAACCTGGAACCAGGCCTGGCACCCAGCAACTGCCTAGCACTCATGGTGCTGTGCTCACCTCTGCAAATCCCTCCCTATCACCCGCATTCACAGAGCAAAGAGAGGCGAGACGGTGCCGGGCACCGGGCTGAGCCATCAGACTCCCAAAGAGCCTCCTCTCCTCCTGCCTCCCCCAGTGTCTGAGGCTCAGCCCCCACCCTGTCCCTCGTTTGCATGACACGAGGCAGGCTGCTTAGCCACTCTGAGCCCCGAGAGCACCACGCTCTGCAGAGCACCAGTGCTGGCCCCCTGGGAGCTGCCCAGACCCCCCATGCAGGCCGCTGGCGCAGGGCCTCACGAAGGGGCGCATCCTCCACTGGTCCCCCCGCCTCCCAGGGAGAAAAGCTATGAACCGCCACCTCTGCTCCCTCGGGAGCAGCTTCCAGAGCCCGAGTGACCTGTTCTGGGCTGTGAAGATGTCATGCCTTGTCACATATGAACCGCCGCTTGTGTTTTTTTCTTCCACTTAGAGTTCTGGAAGAAGTTATAAAAGCCATGTGCTTGGGGTCTCCGAAGGCCAAACTCATGAGCCAGGGATGATTAATGGAGCCTCTTGCTTGCTGACACAGCCCCAGTCCACCAGCCACAGCAGAAGTATGTTGTTTTCCGTCTCCCCAGTGTTTTCATTCCGTCTTCTCTGCTAATCCTGGCCCCTCTCTGCCAAGCCCTCCACTCTGCTCCTGACCTCGGAGCTGGTCGCCTGCTCTCTGGGCTCTCTCTCCTCGGCCTGATGCTAAGGCTTTCCTCCCAGCTGGTTCCAAGTCCCTCAACCTGGACGCTGGCTCTGAAGACTGTGGCCCGTGGGAGGGCAGTGAAGGGCCTCCGCTGACAAAGGCAGCCCATGCTGCGGTCAGACCCAGACCCAGGCTGCAGTGGGCATCAAACCTGATCTCTGGCAACCCACCTGTGTGGCACCACCTGCAGGACTCTCCCTGGCCCAGGCCCAGCCTGCCTCACACACCCTCATTCCCCGCTTCTGAAGTCACATCTGTGCTCTGGACCATTGCCTCCGCGATGCCCTGATGCTGACGCAACAATTCCTGGGGAAAGGGGCCCAGGAGCTCAAGTGGGCTGACTCCCAGTGCCACCGACTGCTCCTACCCAGGCACTGTGCCTGGGGCTTCATGCAAGGCAAGGTTGGTATACTCTTACCCACTGACCAGATGAGCAAACTGAGGCTCAGAGGGGAGGAAACCTGCACCATGTTACACAGCCGGACGCGACCACTCATCGGGTCTCACCAACACTCCCTGAGGGTGAGTTGCCTCCCGGTGCATGCCTGCGCCTTGGAGGGCGGGGACATGGGTTTCGAGATGCAGGAAAGAGCCGAAGCACAGAGTCCTGCCTTGGAAGGGCAGACACCAGGCTGACCGGAGGACAGGGCAGACATGAACGGGGCAGCTCAGCCTGGACTCTTTGGGAAGCACTGGGGGACACGCTCCCCGTGCGTGTGTTCCCGGCACGCGTGACTTTCCGTGACGGTCTGGACAGCAACCCACTGGGCCCAGAACAGACACGTGGGGCCCCTCCCTGAACCGCCCCTCTGCCGTGTCCCTCGGGGCCCTGCCCGCTCCACTCCCTGTGGGGTCCTGACTCATGTCTCAACTGTAGCTTGACTGCAACCACACACCCCAGTCATCCCTGTCCCCTTGGGGGGGTGGAGTGACAGCCTTGGGATCTGGGCAATGCCCCCTGCTGCTGCCCTGAGGCCTGTTCTGCTCTGGAGTCCAGGGGACCCTCGTTGGCTGAGGTGCCAGAAGTTTGGCTAGTGATGGGAAGGGAGCGGCCACCGCCCAGCTCGAACACCGAGCCCTTCTCAGGGGCGGCGCCCCCCGGCCGGAACCCCAGGCCTCCCAGCTCGAACACTGAGGCTTTCCCAGAGCCCTTATCCCCCTGGCCGTCTCAGGCTCATACATACCTGGCTATCCAGTCCAAGCAAGAGAAGCATAATAAAAAAAAGAATGGACCAAAACGTGGGCAGCGGCATCATTGTCACAGCTTTGGGGTAGGCAATGAAGGCCAAGCCAGGACCTGAGGGAGAGAGAACGGGAGGGGGAACAGGGAGACCCGTCAGTGTCCAGGCCGCTGGGGACACTGAGGCTGACACAAAGACACTTGGACCTGAGGCGGGTCCCCACGCCCAGATGCAGGGAGGAGCAAGGTCTGAACCCTTGCCTGGGGACAGAGACCAGGCCTGCCTCACTTTTGGGTGGGACGTGCTGGGGCTCGGGCGGGGCCCGGTTTTAGCATCTGTCTCCTGCGTGGCACAAGCGGCCTCCTCACAAGCCAGACTCCACAGGGAGGCTGATTACCTGGGGCAGGACTAAGCCTGGGACTGTCTGCAGGGTCTTGGAAGAGAGAGTCCCCCACCCCCCTAGATCCACCCATCAGCATATCCTCGGCAGGAGGAAGCAGGGGGAAGGAGGTGGGTCTCTGGCTACCGACACCCTCGTTGGCAAGGAAGAGGCTTCTGGGTTTGAGCTTATGGCTGAAATGCTATGTGCGCGGAAAGACAATGAACAGAGCCACACCCCACAGGGCAGCGTCGCTCCGGCAGCGTCTGTGGGACCCTTCCCGGCAAAAGCCAGAGCCAAGCCTGGGGGGCCAGCCGGGACCCAGAGACGAAGGGCCGCAGGCATGGGGTGGAATCCCAGGCCGGCGGGACCCCAGCCTGCGCTCACAGCCTCATTCCGGCACGCCCTCTCGGCATCACCTCCAGCCACTCAGGCCTCAGTTTCCCGCCTGAACAGTGAAGGGCTCCCAAGGAGACTTCTTGTGTTCAGACTCTCGGCGGCGGCCCCTATGTCCCTGGAAAAGGGCTCTGGTTTCAAGGGGGGAGCCTGGGCAACCCTCGAGGCAGGGATGGGGAGACGGGAGCTTGGAGCTCAGGGTGGTTTCTGAGGAGAGGCACCCCAAAGACAGAGAAAAATCTCCTCCTGCCTCCAAACGGCCTGAGAGCAGACGCCGGAGAGCAGTCGACTGGTAATTTTGAGGCTTGGGAGTCTGAGACGTGGCCAGGGCAGCCAAAGAAAGCAGGCCTTGAGGGCCAGGCAGGAAAAATACAGCAAAATCTGCAACTAAACATAAAAAGTCAGAAAGTGGGAAACAAAAAAGGACTGAAGAGCAGGAGACAGAAGACTTTTTAAAGCAAGTCTCAGAAACCCAATGAATGGTTTAAGAACGAAAAAGAAAAAACAAAACAAGAACGAAAAGCCAACAGCAAATCAGAACCAGAAGCCACATGACGTGGCGTTAACAATCCCCGCCGTAGCCGGGAGGACGAGTCCTGGCACGGCAGAGAGCGCCAGGCCTGAGGAGACCCAAGCACAGCGGTGTCCTCGGGGGGCAGGAGGGGCTGTCCCTGTGCTGCCAGAAACTGCCGAGAGCCGCCCACAGGATGTCCGGAGGGACCAGGCTGGGTCCAGAAAACACGCCCCCGAGGACCCTGGGAAGTGGCCTGGTATCAGCCAGAGCCTGCCCGTTCCCCCACGCGCCAGCTCTGTTCCAGCCTGATGCACACCAAGAGGGGGCGCCAAGGGAGACAGATGCAAAACAGGGCCCCGCCACCCCCATCCCGGGACGCAGTGAAGATTCTCAATCCGCTCGTTTCTGTATTTCAGTTTTGCCTTTCTCAAGCCAGCCTTGGGGAGAGGGTCTGCGCGTCCTCTCTGAAGCGCGTGGTGAATCGAGAGAGAAGTCCAGGAGAAAGAGCCCAGCCGCTCCGAGACCCCCGCGTGCCTCTCCGCTGGCCGAGAACGTGCCAGGCTACGTCGCGCTTGCACTCCGTTAAGCTAAATTACGATCTCGTTCAGATGCACTTCACTCAATATGGTGCTTGTTAAAAGCTTACGAGAGAAATAATCACCCTGGTTGTGCCGGCTGTTCAGACATCACCGTTGGGAATAAATGACAAGGTCTTGTAAGTGATCGGGAGGAAGAAACGACTGAGGCGGACACCACGTGCAGCCACGACACACCCCGGCGTCCGTGGAGGAAGACCTGCCTCACGGGTCGACCTGCATGCCCCTTGCCAGACCCCCTCCCGCTCCTAGTGACGCAGCACACACAGCGGGTCCGCAAGCCCTCAGTGGACAGAGCGCCGCCTGCAGAGGGGTGTCGGCTGCCCCTGGCGCCCCCTCACCCCTCTGCCTGCCACACGTCTTGGGGGTGGGCGCTTGCAGGATTTCTTCCTGTGCCCTCGTGTCTGGCCTGCCTATGGAGGTCTTGGGGGCAAACGGTACGTGGAAGGTCCACTCTGGAAGCAGGAGCAGGAGTGTGGACTTGCCAGGCCCAAAGGCGGGGCTGGACGGGGGTGTGTCTGCCAAACGAGGGGAGACGGGGCCCAGGTCCGGGGCCCAAACAGATCCTCACACTGGAAGGGCCAGAGGCTGTCACCCGTGCCCAGGGTGGGGTGGGGAGGCAGAAGGGGGACATCGCTCCGTCAGAGGGCCCGTCCACATGGGACGGGTGGAGAAGGATGGACAGGGTGCCTGGATGCCCCACTCCGACCTCAACATGCCTGAGCGAGGCCCTTGCCCTCCTCCTCTGACACAAGTGCCAGGGTGCCATCGGACCCTCCGAAGCGAGGGCTGTGACTTGGAACCCGGGACACTGCCTCATGTCTCACACACAGACAGCAGAGGCCCGGAGCAATGGCCCTGGGGACCCCAGCTGCGCCGGGCCCTGGTCTGCGGTGGTCCCTGGAGTTACAGCCTTAGCTTGGAAGGGGCTCATCCCAGGACCCTCCCCCGCCTCCAGGTGGTCCCGGGAGGTTGTGAGACGGCAGGGGACGGAGGGGTGGGCCGGGAGGATCAGCGTGTAGACAGCAAGCCCTTCCAGGCGGGGGCTGACTCTCCTCCAAGCGAGCTGGGCAGGGCTGAGAAGGGCAGAGAGGCTGGGCATGCTGGGAGCCTCGGGCAACCCTCATGCAAGCCACTGCAGGACGGGCGCGTCAGGACCTCGAAAAGTCATGCTGGGTCCTGAATCTAGGCACCTGGGACGCTGTGGTGAGGCCCCGGGACTACAGCAACTGACGACCCCCAAGTCCCAGGCTCCAGAACCACGTGCTGGATCTCCGGGATGAGACCACGATTCTGACCACTCCCGTGACTCCGGGTGTCCCAGGAGGAGACAAGGCCCCGCCGCCAGGGGTGGCAGATGATGTCCTCACAGCCCACTCCGCATCAGACCTGTCACCACCCCAGGCTTGCCCTCCTGCCCCAGCCCAGGCGCCCGGTGCCTACGGTGGTGCCTGACACAGAGTAGGGACTCAGTCATAGGAATCGCTGGAATGGACGAGCAGGTTGGAGGGAGCACGCTGGGAGCAAAGTGCAAATACAGAAACCACAGCTGAGAAGGCGGTGACGGATGCCGACCGGTGGCTGACCTGGGTCTGAGTTAGGCAAGCGGCCTCTGCTGCCAAAACCAGGAGTCTGCCGGGGAGGGGGGCGGGGAAGACCGCACTAAGGTAGCTAAATATTCCCCAACTTACCACCCCCCACGCTTCTGTCGCCCCTTGGGCCAAATTGCAATAAAAATGTTCCAAATTTAGCTTTTGTCCTCTTTGGTGTCTGGGGGACATCTTGGTGGGGGGGGTCCATTTTAGAAACCAGGTTCGCCCCCCCCCCAAAGCCCCCTGGGGTCTGGCTTCATGCCTGCAGTACTTGGCTTACACACTAGGTGGCAGTGCCCACCACCACTGCCACCAATACCACCGTACCTGACTCAGCCACATCAGCAATGTCCACCCCTTGCTCTTGTGCCATGAAGCCCAGGATGGAAAAAATTGCGAAGCCAGACACAAAACTGGTACCACTGTTCAGGCATCCCAGCAGCATACAGTCCCTAAGTTACACATATGTCAGGGAGCAAGTTAATTCACAACACAAGGAAGCCACGCTCCCTATTCTCTTTTCTTTAAACATCATCATCATTGCTACCGTCCACCAGGCCCGCCGGCGCAACACTTGCCTGTACGAGTTGTACTTGTACTTGTTGTAGCTCCCCAGCGAGGTCATGGCCCCCAGGCAAATGGCATAGGAGAAGAAGATCTGGGTCCCGGCGTCAATCCACACCTGCGGGTGGGACGGGTGGCAGAGAGAGAGAGAGAGAGAGAGAGAGAGAAAGAGCTGTCAGAGCCGGCTGCCCGGAGGAGGTGGCGAGGTTCTTGGCCACCTGGCAACAGCCTGAGAACGGGCCCTTGCACCATGCGGAGACGCCACCACAGACGGAGCGCCCGGGCAGGAGCCCAAGGTGTCTCCTAAGGCAGCACTGAGCTGACGGAGCCCCTTGTGTAGCACGGGGGTTAAGCGGCCACGCCTTGAAGGCCAAGGGGGGGCCCAGGTTCCACCCTGGAACAGCCCTGGGCAAGTCAGGGTCACTCCCGGAGCTCCGGTCTGCACGGCCATAAAATGGGCACCACTGCCCCACCCCACTGCGCTTTCCCAGTCAAGGGTGAAGATTCCAGTGCCAGCTACATAAGTCAAGGCTGCTGTCATCCCTGGAACGCCTGCTGTCTGAGCTAGAACGGGAGGAATTCCCTAGTGGACGTGAGCCAAGTCACTCTCCGGACCCTTCCCCAAGAGGCTCCGGAGGGCAGGAGGCAGCCTTCCCTTCGGCCCCCTGAGCTGGCCAACTCCTCTCCCACCTATGCCTACCCGGGCTGGGAGAATGGTAGGAAGGGGGCTCAAAGAGGCACAGGCCCTTGGAGCTTCCCAGAGGCTGAGGATCCTGGAACAAGCTCCTCAGACGCCCAAAGGCTCCAGGGTCTCCAGTGCCCTGAGGCCACCAAGCCAAGTCCCAGGGCTACTCCCTGGACTCTGCCCTCTCCCGCCCTGGCCCACCTGGAGGTCGACTGACCGACCAACCAACTGACGGACCGTGGCAAGACCTCTCTCCCTCCCTGGCATGGTCCCCACCCTCGACCCCTCCTGGCCATCTTGGGAATCCTCCAGTGGGACACGCTGGCAGGGCCCAGGAGTGCAGGGACGGCCAGGCCCGCCACACACCCAGGGGAAAGCACCAAAGTCACAGCCCGCCCTCGAAGGTGTGCTGCCAGACACCCTCACCGGCCCAGCCCTGGGGGCGGGGGCCGGGGGGGAACGACAGCGGTCCCGGGCCTGTCATACCTGTGGGTCCTCGAGGCGGGTGATGTCAGGGTACAGATAGAACTTGATGCCTGCACCTGCCCCAGGCAGCGTCAGCCCACGGACCAGCAGCACCAGCAGCATGGCAAATGGGAAGGTAGCCGTGAAGTAGACGACCTGCAGGGGCGAGAGGGGCTTGGTGGGCCCAGGGCCTCGCCGGCTGCTACGTCTGGGCTTCCTCTCAGAGAGGCAGGACAGCACACTGGCCAGGAGGGCGTGCTGCAGCCAAGTTTGCAATCTCACTGTGTGACCTTTGGCATGCTGCTTAACCTCTCTGGGCCTCAGCTGCCTCACCCATAACAAGTTCCTACCTCATGGATTTACAGCGACTAAACAAAAACAATCCTACACACAGTTACCCATATTGTACCCCAGGTACCATCTAGGCCCCAAATACAGTGGTGGCCAAGACAGAAAACAAGTCCCTGCTCTTGTGGAAATGACACTCTAGCAGGAGAGATGGAAGTTACAAAATAAGAGTGAACAACCAAGTGTGCAGTGAAAGGCCAGTCCAGGGGTGGGCACCAGGGCTCAGCACATAGGCTAGTAACCGCCCACAACTGTTCGCATGAGTCCTACAGTTAAGAATCAGGTAACTGCTGGGCTCGGTGGCTCAGCCTGTAATCCCGCACTTTGGGAGGCTGAGGTGAGTGGATTGCCTGAGCCCGCGGGTTCGAGACCTGCCTGGGCAACTTGGCGAGACCTCATCTCTAAGATAAATCAAAAAGCTGGGCGTGGTAGCGCCCGCCTGTAGTTCCAGCTACTTGGAAGGCTGAGGCGGAAGGATCGCCGGAGCCCAGCAGATCGAGGCTGCGGTGGCTGGGAGCGGCCACTGGACTCCAGTCTGGGCGACAGAGTGAGACTCCAACTCAAAAAAAAAAAAAAAAAAGAATCAGGTAAGTGTGGTTTCAAATGCTTGCTCTGCCTCCTTGTTTGGTGTGTGGCAGCAGGCATGCTGCTTACCCTCTCTGGGGCTCGGTTTCTTAATGAGAAAAAGCCAGAAAGAGTAACAGAAGCCCCTCATCAAGCGATGAGGTGAGGATATGACAGGGTAACACTGTCAAAGCAACACCTGGCACTCACAGTAGATGCTCAAGAAACAGGGCCCGTTGCTGGCAGCTGATTCTGCCGGAAGGACACAAGAACTTACGGGAAGAAAATGAGGCCTCTCCAAGGCCCAGTACAGGGCAGGGCATACACATCACTGAGCCTAAGGGAGCTCCTGGCCTCTCCTGGGACACGCTGCGCATTCCGGACAGGTCCAGGAGGGCATGAGGTAGGGCCGACCCTCCTTTCTCCCCTCCTCTCGTCCTGGGAGCACTGGTCTCCCTGACTACCTGTGGCCTCAGTGCTCACGGACACATGTTCCTGTCTTTCTACCCCCATGAGAAGCTTCCAGGCAGGGCTTCTTCCTGGCGAACGGACAGTGAAACCTTGGCAGTACAAGCAGGGCACTGGCCGAGGCAGGACTCCCAGGCAGGAGCCCACCTCATCTTTACCACACCCCCAACACAGTGGTGCTCAGTGGAGACACCAAGGATCAGCAGGCTCATGGGCTTGAACTATGGCCCGCGGGGGGTTAACCCCTCGCTCCGAGCAAAGGTGTGAGGCATTGGACTTCACCAGGGAAGGACATGCAGGAAGTTCGCGATGGCCATTTGAAACACCGGCTGGCAGGCAGAGCCCCGACCACCTCTGGGGACCAGGGAGGAGCCGCTGCGTGGTCGACGCACCCATTCTACAACGAGGAAACAAACCCAGAGAGCAGGACGGCTGGGCCATGGCGTCGGCGGGCAGTGCCACGGCGCTGCAGGGCACACCGGGGCCCAGGTTGGTCTGCAGCACGGACAGCCAGGGGCAGAGCCCCAAGCCTCACCCAGCTGGCACCAGAACCCGACAGACCACAGTTCTCAGGTGACCGCGCTCAGAACAGGGCTCTGGGGGCCTGCCTAGCTCAGCTGCCCTCTGCTCCACCACCCCAGCCAGCATTCACTGAACGCCTACTGTAGGTCTGGCGCGACTCCACGTGCTGCCACGTCTATGCTCACTTGACCCTGCCCTAGCCCTTCTAAGTTTTGTTAGCACCCCACTGTGAAAGCGGATGAGGCTCATAGAGTCCGTCACCTGCCCGGGGTCACGCGGTGTCTAAGCTGCAGTGCAGGGACCTGCCCTGGGCAGCACACAGCCGAGCAGTGAAAAGCCACTGGTTCACCGACTCTCTCAGAGATGAGAAACAGGCTGGGGCCAAGACCCTTGGGACTGATTCAAGTCCAGCGACGGGCCCGCTCTGCCGTGAGACCTCCTGCAAGCCACTGCCCTCTCTGGACTCCGCTTCCCCACCCTGAAGTGAGGGGGGCTCGGGCTGAGCTAGAGGTCCTTCCCGCTCTGCCGCTCCAGGGTGGAGGAATGGGAGGGGCTCAGAGGGCCAGCTGGGGCCCACCGAGCCAGAGGTCTCATGCTGGCAACCTCACCTCAGCTTCGCGTCCATACACCGAGGTTAGCGTGGGCTCAAGACCTCACCTGCTGGAGTCCTGCAGGTCCCACTCAGAAAACCCTGGGGGTCAGCACTGTCATGGCAGCCTCTGAGGCCCAGGGAGGGTCGTGCCCCTGCCTGTGCCGCACACCCCAGACGCCCTTTCTTCCCTCCGGCCTCAGTTTCCCCAGCCACACTCCTCCTTGAGGCTGGGAGCCCTCAAGACCCCCCAAGGATGGGAAGGCAGACGTGGCAGGCAGGGGCATGTCCGGAAGCCACAGAAGGGGGAAAGCGGCAAAAAAAGAAAACCAGCCTGCCTTTCCCTTCCTGAGGACAGGCAGACAGGCGCCCGCAGCTCCCACCTCTGGGGCTCTGTGTGGGCCACACCTAGTCCGGGACAATAGCTGCTGACAGCAGCCCCGCAGGGGTCCCCAGAGGGCGCTGCTTCAAAGCCAGCTGCCCTCCAGGCCAGGCACCAGGCTGTGGCCAGAGGGCTTTGTGTCAGGGACATGGGTGTGGAGGTGGCCTTCCTCATTTCCATGTATTTAACTTACTAAAAAAGCACTTATGTGGCGCTCAGGGTGTGCCAGGCACTGCCGAGAGCTTCTGAGTATCAACTAATTTGATTCCCAGGGCAGTACAAAGTACCAGGTACTGTTATCGCCTGCACTTTCCAGACAGAGAACCGAGCCCGGAGAAGCGGGACCACCACCTGGAGTCACAGAGTTAGCGGCGGCGGAAGCAGGACTGAGCCTTTCAGGTGCGCTGCTGTGGCTGTTCCTGCCCAGATTCAGGCGGGCAGTCCCACCTGGCCACCCCACGGCGGCTGCATCGTTGAAAGCCACCCTTGTGGTGCAGAATCAGCTGCTCAGAGGACCCGGCCCTGAGCACCATTCTCTCGTTTCTGTGACCCGCCCCCCCATCCTCAAGGGAGAGGCTGGTGTCAGCCGCCAGGGCCTCAGATGGAGGCCCAGCAGCTTGCGTTGTGGGACGTGGTACTTTTCCACTCCTGCTGGTGAATCTCTGTGGCTCCTCTGAGCCTGCGATCCAAAAGCCCTGTGTGGCCCAGCCGCCCCGGAGACCTGCAAGGACGACGTGTGCCCCTCGGGACGGTCAAGCGGCAGGAAGGGACGGGCTTCCCTGTCCCTGGGAGGTGAGGATCTGGGCAGCAGGGCTCACCATTCATCCCAGAGACCCTAGGCAGGCCCGAGAGTCCGCACAGCACCCCGGGGGCACCACCAACTCATTTCCCAAGGAGACAGGGAGGCTGGGAGAGTGCAAAGGCCTTGCCCAAAGTCCCGAGGTTTAGGGGGGCAGAGCTGAGATCCAAACCCAGGTCTGGCTCCACCTTTCTTTCCACCCACTGGACAAAGAGCTGTCCTGGAGGCCAACGGTGGGGAGGCCCAGCCTCGGCACACGGCTGTGCTGCTTCCAGGGCCTAGCTCCCCTTCGGGTTCGCAGGGCTGCACTTCCTGTGCGTGTGCGTGGCTCTGTCCCCTCCTGGACCCCACACTCTGAGAAAGCAGGGACGTGCCTGTTGCATGCCCTACTTTCTGCACCCTCAGGCTGGACAGGGGTGAGGCTAGGAGGTGGAGGGATGCTGGGCACCCGGGGCGGGGGAGCACATGGACACCAATAAGCCGTGTGATGCTGGGCGAGTTCATTAACCTCTCTGGACCTCAGTCTGCACACCTGTGAAGTGGGACTAATAACGGCACATACTCGGCACACCGTGAGGATTAACGAGTCCATAGGCAGCACTAAGAACAGTGCCTAGCCCACAGGTGCCGCATGGCTCTTGCCACCACGAATTAAGCCGCGGTCTGTTCAGACCCTTGGAGAGGTGAAAATCACAGGAAAGGAAACTGCAACCAAAGGAGGCAAAGTGACTTGAACTCAGGTCCTGCAAGTCTCGGCCCAGGGCCCACCCACCCTGTGCTACACCAGTGTCAGCCCTGGGACGACTTGGCCAGGATGAGACCCTCTGTTGCCCGTGGGCCCAGCCCCCACGGCGGCCGTGAACCTGGTCTGTGGCCAGGGCTGGAGGCCACAGCCGGCAGGCGGGCGGGCGGGCGGGCAGGCAGACAGGCGGCCTCTCCCTAGAGCTTGAGGAAGTCCACAGCTCCGTGTTTGTGTTGGCTCTCTGGGCTGGCCCCAGCCCGGCTATTGTTCTGGGACCCACGCCTGCCCCCGGGAGGCCTGGGGCCCCCCACGGAGGAGGCTGTCGCTGATGGCGAGGTGGGAGCCTGGCGCGTCACGTCTCTGCTCGGCCACCCTTTTGGCTTTGGCGTGGCTCTGCGCTGCCTTTCCGCATGCTCGCTGTTCCTGGGGGACACCTCCATCAGAACGGGGGCTCCAGGGCCTAGGCAGACACGCCTCCAGGCCTTTACGCCGGCTGTTCTCTTCACCACTTGATGCTCACAGACTCGTCCCTCCACTGGTCTCTGTCCCCAGCCGACCCCTCTTGGCGAGCCGCATCTGCTGCCCCATCTAGAAGTACTCCCAACTCTTGTCTCCCTCAACACTTCATTTTCCCCCACAGTTCTTGCCACCATCTGACTCCTATCTATTTCTCACATCTCTTTTGTTGCAACTGACTTTTCCCGCCAGGCTGTCTGCTCCTGGACAGCAGTGTTTGTCTGTTCTGGTGACCGCTGCATGTCCCCTGGCCCCGTCCCTACAATGGTACCTGGCACAGATTAGAATCTCAAAAAACACTAGTGCATGAGTAAATTACGTCTCCAGCCCTGCTCAGGACCAGTGTGCCATAGTGATGTCCTGACAGACGCACTTCTGAAACTGAGGCGGGGTGAGAAAGGGAATTAGGTTTACTGAACGGACTGTGTCTGGCATTGTGCTCAGTGTTTAACACAACTCATTTTAGTCCCTACTACCACCCGTTTCATAGATGAGGAAACTGAGGCTCAGAGGGGAGGGACTGACCTTAGACAAGTCACCTGGCCTCCCCAAGCTTCAGTTTTCTCATCGTTTAAAGAAAGGCAATAGCTGGGTACAGTAGTGGCTCACGCCTATAGTCCCAGCATTTTGGGAGACTGAGGTGAGACAACTGCCTGTGGTTACGGGTTTGAGACCAGCCTGGGCAACTTGGTGAGACCTTATCTCTATAATAAATCGAAAAACTAGCCAGTCATGGTGGCATGTGCCTGTAGTTCCAGTGACTTGGAAGGCTAAGGCAGAAGGATTGCTGGAGCCCAGCAAGTCAAGGCTGCAGTGGCCAGAAGCATGCCACTGCCCTCCAGCCTGGAAGACAGAGCGAGACTCCAACTCAAAAAATAAAAATAAAGAAACAAAGGTAACAGAATGGTGGGCTCACAAGACAGAGAACCGAGGTCGCACGGCAAATGTGCTCTCTAAGTAAGGGCAGGGTCCCCGCATTCCCCTCCCGCCCATCGCAGCGGGAGGGTGTCCACCAGAGGCTTGGTGCATGTGCAGGCTTTTGAGGCCCAGACTGCTGCCTCTGTGCCTTGCGCTTCAGGGTCACAGGGCAGCTATGCCCCAGGAAACAGGAGAGGGTGGGGCGGGCCCAGGATTGCCCACTCCGCCTCAGCTTCCCTGGAGTACCAGGTCCTGCAGAGCAGGTGGCTGCAGTGACTACTTGGATCTATGCAGATGAGTGACTGAATTCCTATGGCCGGCACAGCCAGGGACCTTCTCCAAGCCTCTTGCCTGCAGCACACCTGGATGCCGCCTGAGACGCTCCTTTGACTCTTGGGGATTTCCGATCATAGAGAAACGCTTTCCCTCATGGTGCGCATGATAGAAGAGGCAACAGGGCAACACCTGAGGGCGGCCGACCCCTCCTTACTGACAGCCGAGAGCCTGGGCTCAGGCTCACATCTGGCAAACAGACAGCCACGCTGGCTGGTGTTCCCCGGACAGCCATGAGAGCAGCCAGAGGGGTGAATAGCAGGGCATCGTTTGGCTCCAGTTGGTAGCAGGGACCTTTCAGTTACTGGCTAACATTTCATTACTGCCGATACACTGGGTTTACCTAAACCTTCACTGCAAGCCAGCATTTAAATTATCCGCTGCCACGTTTGTTAGCCACTAGCATCCTAGTCGCTGCATCATGTTAACAGGCAGCAAATACTATAGTCATGGATAAGACTCTGGTTAACCGCTAACACTGGCTATGAGCGAATGATTTAATTATCAGGTATCACTTTCCTTAGCAACTAAGGGAGTTACCAGTTGAAATGTTAGTAGTAAGGTAACTCAGTTAACCTGATTTCTAGCAGCTAAAATCCCAGTCAGTGCTCTTCCATCTGCAATGTGCATTTGGATGGTGCAGGAATACTGTCACAGTGCAGCTTCTGATGTGAGTCAGGGGCAGGCCCACATGTCTGCATTTCTCACAAGCTCCCCGATGATGTGGACGCAGCTGGTTGTGGCCTGCTTTGCAAAGCAAGGGTCTTCAACCAAGGGCCAGCTAACCTCCAATTTCCAGCTATCCTATGTGGCATAAGCCCAGCCGAGTCACATGCCAACACCTGCCTTGACCGTCACACCTTGAGCCGGGAAAGCAGTGGTGGGCAGGACCAGCTCGTACACAGCCTGACTCTTCAATGTTCAGGAATTCTGCAAGCTGGTCATTAAACCAGTGCTGACTTGACACTGGACTTGATGGAAGCACTGACACCAAGAAAAGAGAAAACCAGTGCTGACTTGACACTGGACTTGATGGAAGCACTGACACCAAGAAAAGAGAAAACACTGTGAACCAGGGCTCTATTTCTTCCCAAGGGCTGGTTCATCAGCAGACCACCACCAGCTCCCACTGGCAGGAAGGCCCTGCAGGGACAGGGCCACTCTGCTGGGGCCAGCTTTCGCACGGAGCTCCACAAGGCAGGGGAGGGACAGAAGTCCAGCTTACCTTTCCCGTGGACCTGACGCCCTTCCAGATGCAGAAGAAACAGACCAGCCAGACGAGAAGAAGGCAGAGGGCGAGGTCCCACTTCAGAGTGCCGGGGTGGTCAATTCCAGGAGACAAGCTCAACACGTTGCGCCTTCAAGCAAACACAGAGCCAGAAGTCAGCGAGGACGCAGTCCCCGGAGAGAGGGGGCCCGGCCTGGACTCACAGGCCAGGGCCCAAGATGCCACAGAGGCCAAAGTCACCCAGTCTTTCCAAACCGTGGAGTCCATGGAGACAGTTGTTGGGAAGTCAACAAGGGACAGATCTGACTCCCGACTCAGGCAAATCCAGGTTCGCTCAGCCTGGCCTCAGGCAAGTTAAGTAACCCCTAAGCCTCAGTTTCCTCATCTGTGAAATGGGTATTGCTCCTCTGCTGGGACCCTACAGGACACTCTCCAGGGCCAACTGTGGCCAAACACTGGGCTCAAACCTCAGTCCCACTATTCGTTCAGTCACCGACTTTGGGCAAGTTCCCCAGTATCCTCAGACTTCAGACTCTTCATCTAAACAATGGGGTTTCCCATTCCATCCCTCCTGTATTTTATGCACCCTGTATGCTGACTGGAGCGTTCACTCAAATGTAAGCCACACAAGGTCCACAAGGCAGGGTCCGGGGTGTAGCCAGCACTTGATAAACCTCAGCAGTGGCTGTCTTGGTGTCAGGATGCTCAGGGCTGCTCAGGCACACACTGGCACCTAAGCAGTGCCGGCCTCCTCCCCGCTGTCTGCCAGGGTTTTCTGAAGGCGGCAGGTAGACAGCTTTCGGGATAGCCATCAGCCTGGAGCAGCCACCCACCCTGGCAGGGTCGCACAGTGCAGTCTGGGTCTTCGGAGTCAAGGCTCACGCCTCCGCCAATCCCTGCCGGTCCATGCACGCGAGCGCCTCGGCCCAGACACAGCCCCCACAGGAGTGACAGCATCGGGAAACAGGACCGGGGCGGACCGGGCAGGGCAGCACGTGGACAGCAGAGAAGGCCATGGAACCTCACGCCCAGAAAAGGCACCCACTGCCCCGGAGCCCTGCCTGCTGTCACAGGGACCGAGTGCAGCCACACTGAGCACAGGGACGTCGGCCCCGCCCACCAGGCCTCCAGGTCACCTGCCCACTGAGTTTCCGAGAGAGAGTCCCCACACTCCAGGGTGTGGCCCCTTGGAGAAAGCTGAGTTTCCTTCCACGGGGAGGCAGTGACCTGCATGAAGTTCGCACTTCCGAGCAGGACAGGCAGGGAGTGAAGTGTGACTCTGTGCCTTGGTTTCCCCAGCCATAAAATGGGAACAAAAGCTCCTGCCAAGGATGCTCCTTGCGAGGGCATTCCAGAGCATTCCAAGCTCTCAGTCAGTCACGGGATTATCCCTGTGGCTGGGGCTCCAGTCCACAGAACACCCACCAGGCCAGAACCCTTTATTTGTTCTTTTCCTTATCTTCCAGAGAAGCTTCAACGTAAGGATCACGAATACATCAAACTCCGTCCCACCTGGCATGCAAGCAAGCTTGGCTCACTGCTGTGTTCCAGCACCCAGCACAGCAGAGGGGCTCAATAAATACCTGCTGAATGAACGAACGAATGAAGTCACTCTGCACCGATCCATGGAATACCCACTACCACACCCTGGGAAGGGGCAGCTTCCTCTGCCTTTTTTTGTTGGCGTCGGCAACACTGTGGGCTCCCCCGGCACTAGGGATGCTGCCATGGTAACGCCGGCCATCGCACAGAAGACACCAGCAACCGCCTGCTTGCGAAGGCCTTTCCACATTACCTTATCGGAGCCAAGGATTATTCACCCGATTCTACAGATGGGGAAAACCAAGGCTTGGAGGATCTGTGTGCCCACAGTCACAAAGCCAGCAGGTGGTGGGCAGAGCTGCCACCCCAAACACAGGCCTGTCTGACTCCAAAGCCAGTGCTCTCTCAACTCCACTACACTATTGGCCTGGTTTAAAAGAACACAGAGTCTGAGTTTTACTAATAATCTCTTCAGTCCTCTGCTACATTCCAGGGTCACCTGGCGCCTCGGCCTGAGGGTAGCTCCACGAGGCAGACTGGTGGCCAAGAGCATCCCGTCTGGGGCCCTGCCAAGCATGTGGATCTGGCAGCTGCAGCAGCTTTAAAGCAAAAAGCCCTTTCCCATTCAGCCTTCAGGGCTCAGGCCTCCAACCAAGGCCGGACAGCAGCCAAGGCTCCCTCGTGACGGCAGCACCAGGAGGGGACCACCTTCCCACCCTCAAGCCTCACACACCTGGTGTGGAAGGCCCACTGCCCTCTCCCAGTCAGCCAGGCACACTGCACTGCCCTCAGGCCACAGGGGAGCCTTTCCTGGGGTCATGACCACTAACTGCCAAGTTCCCATCTGTCCTGTCATTGGTGAGACATCTGTCTTGCCCCCTCAGAATCTACACATCCCAGGATGGGGCCTTGAGTGCTGACAAGACACCCAGCCGTATGACAGCCTTCCTTGGTCCTTCTGGGCAAGCTGGCTGAGAAGCTGAATGGCCCAGAGCCGGGATTCCAGCCGTACCTGACCCATAGCCAGTTTCCCCAACGGCTTCTGCCTGTCTCCCACCACCTTGCTGGGCACACCAGGGGTCCCCACTGCTGACAGCAGGCTGCCAGGCTGGCTTGTTCCGGGCAGCTGACCACTACAGAGGCCCCAACAAGGAAACTGAGTCACACATTCACTTCTCTGCAGCGGGTTTGACCTAACAATTTTGCTAAGACTCTCCTGTAACTACACCTGCATGGGAGGCCAAAGACACAGTGTCCACCCAGGCAACACCTCTACAGAGTGCAAGACTGGATTCAGCCTGATACCTGTCTTAGGGGCCAGGTGAACTGCGGCGCGGGCACACAGTGGGATACCACGTGGCTGCGAGAACAACGGGGACATTCTCGGCCTCTCAACAAGGAGCTCTGTCCGGGAGACAGAGCGAGTAGAGCATGATGAGGGGTGGTGCACACGGCACACTCCCGCCATGGAGATGGGGGGTCACAGTGGGGTCTGAGCGCGCACTGGCTACTTCTGGCAGGACACAGGAGAAGCAGGTGACAGTGGCTGCCCGTGCGGGGGAGGGGGCTCACTCTGCAATGAATATGCATTTTTAATAATTTGGGTATTTTTAATGTGCCCATATCACCTCTATAAAAGTCATTTGAAATCGAAATGGTTTGTAACAGACCATGCAAACGTCCTAGGGATGGAATGACTGTGTGTGTCTCATCCATCAGGGGCTGTCACAGCAGAGCCTGCCCCAGGCTCAGGGCTGGAGGCACCAGCATTCTTTCCGAAGGCACCTGGGCCACCCGTGGAGGATGAATCCCAGCCGGGACCCTCCATGGTCCCCTCTGTATCTGGCTTGCAGGCTCTCCTCAGTCACAAAGCTCAGACCAAGATGCCTGCTGTGGTGAGTGGGCGTATTCTGTAGACTGCAGAGTGCAGCGCCCCAAGGGAATGCCACGGTGCACCACCGCGCACCAGGGCCTCTGAAGCACCCCAGGGCACTACCCCCATCTGAGCACATCCCCCCGACGCTGCCACTGTCCTTGTCTCGGCCCCACTGTCACCAGGATGATCTCCGTGTCCTCAAGTGGTCCTCCTGCCCCCACTCGCCCCTGGTCACAAGGCACCTGCCAATACCAAGTGGATCCACTCCTTCCTCTGTTCCACATCCTCCCATGGCTCCTATCTCCTGGGCCAACAAGGCACGCCTGGCCTGCCCTACTCCTCGCGCCATCCAGACCCAGACACTTGTTTCAAGAGTGGGAGGGAGTAACAAGACAGGCTGACCGACGTAGGAGGTATCCTGGCAGGCTGTGGGCGGGGGTGTCTGAGCCCACCCTCACCACCACACTCCCTGCTCCCCCCTCCTCCGCCCTGGGTCTTGCCTGGTTGGCTCCCTGAACAGGCAGGGCCCACCGCCTGCTCATCCCACAGCTTGCTCGCCTCTTTTCCTCATGTCTCCGCCCAGGACCGGCATTCCCGGCCACCCTCTGGGGAAAGGACTCCCGGCCGCTCTCCCTGCCCTGCCCCGGCCCCATCTCCGTCGTGTACCATGGCTTTCATATGACAGCTGCCTTTGAGTCATCTGTTTCACGTCTGTCTATCCTGGTGGAGGTCAGCTCCACGGAGGCGGGGCCTGTGATCCCTCAACACTGCCCAGCACACAACAGGTGCTCAGTGGACATTAGTTGAGTAAATTAACTAGGTCCATTTGGTGGATGGGGAACCTGAGGCTCAGGTGGGTTCAGGAACTCACCTAAAATCACCCAGACAAAAATCAACCCCGGCCCTAGTTCCTTTTTTCTGGTCCCTGGGGACCAGCCAGCCCGTGTGCCGGGCCTATGCTGGCCTGGACGAGGGCCCCCAGCACCTCAAGCTTCCCTGTCTCTCATTCGGCGGGAGGAGACTCAGAGGTAAGCTGCATTCCTGTCCAAGAATAGTCATGATTCATCCCAGGGTGGGATCCAAAAAAGAATCGCCTGGACGTCTGTTTTGAGTTGGCCGCCCTGCTGCCGTCCAGCCGGCACTCAGAGATGTAAATACGTCCTCCGCGTGGGCCAAATCGTTTCCTTTTGACTGCGGGCCAGCCATTTATTGGCCGTGGCTCTCCCCTGGAGACTGGCGGAGGCAACAATTATAAAAGGGCCCGACCGCCCAGAGCACGGGGCCACACCGGCTTTCTACACCACCTCCTCCTTCCAACAGCTGCAGGGGAAGACTGGCTGAGCAGGGCTTGTTTGCAAATATGACTCATTTCTTTGATTCTAATAAAGTCTAATGATAGTGCTGAGCTCCCAGGGGGCTCGAGGAGCCCAGAGGAAGGCTCGGCTCCAGCCTGAGGGAGGGCATGTGGCCAGGTCTGGCCCGCCTGTCCTCCAGGGTGACCTCGAGGTGGGCTGGCCCTGGGCAGCAAGGACCCACAGGATGGGGCTGAGAGGGGCACAGAGCTCCACGACAAGGCTAGTGTGAAATGATGGTCTCTGGGGCCCGGCGACCTCTCCTGGGGATCTGGGGAAAGGCAGCTCACTGGCTCCTGCTGGGAATGGTGACAGCGCCACGTGGGCTGGGCGTGGGGGTCCAGACCAAGAACTGAAGGTGGGGAGACTCACGCACACAGCACGCCGTGGCCTTGGGCTCCTGGGCCTGGCCTGACTTTCAGTTGGTGACATGGACAGCAGGTGAGTCAGGGTTGGGTCCAGCGCCGATGTCAGGGCTGGGAAGCCTGCCACCTCTAGCTGCGCATGTCACCCCGGGCAGGTCCCTCCCCATCTCCGGTCCTCAGGGTCACCAGGGCCCTCCACCACAGGGCTTGGCTGCTGACTCCCGGCTGTGGGGGCTGGGACCACACTGGCTCTGTTCAACGGAAGAGACTGCAGGGTCTGGTGATGAAAGGGGACTGCCCCAAAGCCACACAGCTGGGGTGTGGGAGCCAGAGCTGACCCTGCCTGTCCTGACATTCCCCCCCGTGGTCCCGCTGCCTCCTCTGTCAAACCAGAAGGAGGGGCACAGCGTCCCTTCCTGCCAAGAGACGCCACCATCCCACATGCCTCCTTCTCTGTGACTCACAGGAGTGTCTGAACACCTGTCGGGCAACATCTGCCGATGGGAAGCACGAACCAGGGACCACAGTGTCGGGCACAGCCGAGAGGAACGAAAGGCAACAGCAGCTGGGTGGGGGCTTCGGCTCGAGGGCAGTGAGACAGCTTTTGGGAGCACCCTCCCTTTCTCTGTGCATGCTACAGCCCAGCCAGCGACAAGCCCCACTCAGCGGAAACTCCGGAGCTAGTCACTATGGTCTGGTGGCTATTTTCAGGCGAACTCAAGTACATTTCACCCAAAGGGAACCCAGGCCTGCTGAAGCCCGAGCCCTGAGGCCCTGCAGGCACCCAGTGCTCAACGTACATCTAGCCTCTCCTCCCCCCCCAGAGCCTCTGCTTCCTAAGTCATGTCCAGAAAACACAGATTCAACCCATCACTCCCCTTCTCATATGTCTACATGCATGGTTCCTTCTCCTGAAGGCCAAAGCTCAACCTTACCAGCCTCAAGCTTCTTAACCCTTCCTGTCCCCACCACCTGTACAGCCCGTGCATCCTAGGCTCTGGCCCAACCAATTCTTGCTGTTCCCAAACGTGTGCTTCAGAATGTCATGCCCCTGTAGGGGCTAATCCCTCTTCTCTTCCTGCACTCAAGCAATCCTCCCGCCTCAGCCTCACAAAGAGCTGGAATTACAAATGTGAGCCCCCATGCCCAGCCAGATTCTGGACATCATTTGAAGGGAGAGCCAAGAGGAACTAGGGCTTGGACGTGGGGTCTGAGACTTCCACGCAGACCCTCCCTGCAGACCAGCTGACTGCAGCTCTCCTGACCTCAGGACTCCACATCCTTATCTTCCCAACGCCTGACCTCTCCGTCCACTCCCCACAGTCCTGCACTTCTCTCATGAAGAGATGGAGTTTGTCTCCCCCACCTCTTGAGTCTGGGTTCACCTTGTGACTTTCCTTGGCCAACAGGACATTAGCAAAGATGATGCAAGCAGAAGCCCGAAAAGTGCTTGGGTGTGCCCATTTGTTGTTTCCGGAGTCTGAGCTAGCCTGCTGGGTGATGAGACCACATGGACTCAGGAGGTCTCATGTCTGAAGGAGAGTCTGGACGACGCCCAGACACCGCCTCTGCCTGAAAGCTCTGAGGAGACTTCGTGGACCGACGGACCCCAGGCTCAGGGAGTCGGCTGCCCCCTACTGCTTCTCTTTCCTTTCCACAGCTCCACCAAGAGAAGAGAAGGCGCTGGGAGGCAGAGCCGGGCTGTCCTCACCCGCGGTGCCCAATCCTCGGCTGGACCTCAGCCGAGTTCCCTGGCCGGTGCCTCTGGCCTAGGTCTGCACTGAGGAGGCGGGACACGGGAGGCAGGGCGGTTCTGAGCCTGACTGCCTCCTCCGCGCACCCTAGTCTTCCCAGGATCTAGAAGCTATTTCTGAATGTTCAGGGCGTCCCGGGATGGTCTGCTGGAGCCCGTGGCTGAGGAGCGTTGTGAAGGTCAGAGCACGAGGCAGCACGAGGCAGGCCTGCGGCAGGATTCTCTGGAGAGAGCAAGTCCACCTGGACCGTGTTTATCTCTGGAGAGTTCTGGTTCTGCAGCCTGCAGAACCAGAACTCTCCAGAGATAAACACTGTCTTCTGGCAAAGAATATGGAGTTGGGGTGCTCAGATAGGGATTCTAGAAGGCCAGGTTCTCCAGGAAAGCAGCCTGTAGAACCAGAACTCTCCAGAGATAAACACTGTCTTCTGGCAAAGAATATGGAGTTGGGGTGCTCAGATAGGGATTCTAGAAGGCCAGGGTCCTAGGATCCCCCAAGGGCCCATTCTGTGGGATGGGCGGCAGAGAGGTCTGAGTGGGGACCAGCTACCCAAGGACCTCACAGGGTGCCTGCAAGCTCCTTCTCCACGACTCCTTGGGCCTCGGACAACAGAGTCAAAGCAGAACCCGGAAGATGAGGCCCTTTTCCAACAGAGGGGCCCTTATGGGTGCTGGAGGAGGGGCGATTCTTGAAGGTCATGACATTTAGGAGTTTCAAGTGCCCCTGGGGGGCAGTTTTATCTACTGTGAGGACACTCAGTAATGAGCAAGGACCCACGTTTACCAGGCAGGTACTCAAGGCTAGCCCTGCAGGACCTGGCACAGGGGAGGCCGCCCTATAACCCTAGGAGTCGGCACACCACCTGGCCCTGTGCATGCCCCTGCCAGTTCCCTGGGTGGGGCAGGGTCGGTCTCCAGGCTGTGCCAAGAACAGCAGAGAAAGGACAGGGCTGTGCCTCGGGCCCCATTCAAGTGAGAAGAATGAAGTGCCAGCATTCTTTGTCTGTAAACTCAGCTCTGGGGGAGAGGGGGCAGGAAGGCCGAGGGCAAGGAATGTGCCTTTAATGTCCTCTGCTTGCGAGGGGGAAAGACAGACACATGAGGGGCCCTCAGTCCAAGCAGGCCTGGAGACCTGCTGTGAGCACAGACTGAAGGCCCACGGGCAGCGACAGCAACATGGGCCACCCGAGCAGGGCTGCACACACCAAAGGAGGCCAACGGACCCTTTCCTTGCCTGGGATTTCCCAGCCGGATGGCAAAGCATGGCTGGGGCCAGTCAGCAGACTCCCTCCTCTGGTCTGTCTCCTGGGCCCATTTCCAAGAGGCAGGTAGACGCTTTGACAACAGCAAAGCCACACATGAAGGAGGAGGACTGTCACCTCGTGATGAGGGAGCACCCCCTATCCCTAACAGCACCCCTGCCCGAGCTCACCGCCTCCACGCAGGGCCTTATCTCAGTCATATCCAAGGTTGAGGTGACACACGTGAGTGCTGAGCCCCAAGTTCAGGGGGAAGAAGAGGGAAAAGGACACACTCACACCCGTCCAATCAGCCTCCACGTTCTGTGCAGAGGCCCTCCGTGCAGACCAGCTGATTGGGGCTGCCCGACCTCAGGACTCCACATCCTATCTTACTGACGCCTGACCTCTCTGCACACTCCCCACAGTTAATGACCACATTGTGGGAAACCATACATTGCCCACAGTCCTGCACTTCTCTCATGAAGAGACAGAGTTTGTCTCGCCCACCTCTTGAGCCTGGGTTCACCTTGTGGCTTTTTTTGGCCAACAGGACATTAACAAAAATGATGCAAGCAGAAGCCTGAAAAGTGCTTGGGTTTGCCCATTTGTTGTTTCTGGAGTCTGAGCTAGCCTGCTGGGTGATGAGACCACATGGCCAGCCAGCTGCCCCTGACACCAGTCAACAGCCAGCCAAGACCCCGAAGAGCTACACTGAGGACCCTGCAGCTGACTACAGACACACCAAGGAGCCCAAGACCAGAAGAGCTGCCCAGCCGAGCTCAGCCCACACTGCCAACAAGCAGAAAAATCAAGAGCTAAATAAATGGTCCTTGCTTAAACCACCAAGTTTGGGGATGGCTGTTATACAGCAAAAGCTAACTGATACATATTTTCACTCTATCCACTCACCTTTTTGCCTGAGTAACTACTTCAGCTTGCATTTTTCTCTGTGTACTAACAGAGTATATTTTTTCTAAAATACATTAATAAGAAAATTGTATATTTTTTTCTAAAAAATATACTTTCAAAAAAGTATCTTTTTTCTAAAATACAATAAGAAAATTGCATCATTTTCAGACAACATAAGTATGCATACCTGTCTCTGGGAAACAACCTTCACAAGGATCCTACAGGGGGAGGAGCAATTCATTCCTCTTATTTGACAGTTAAAGAAACTGAGGCTCAGAAAGGGCGAGTGACTTGCCTAAGGTTAAGCAGCCAGCAAGTGGCAGAAGCAGGATTTGATTCCAGGACTATCGGTGACCAAAGGCATAAAGCTTTTCTGCAGACCTGTGCCCTCCTCCCAGCCCTGAGGACAGTGACACCCACATCCCTGGGGAGATGAGGGAGTGGGCTGTCCTCTCTGCGCCACCCACGCCCTCCTCCCTCCTTCCGTGAGGCAGCCTTACTCCCAGAACTCGATGACCGGGGAGGTGAAGTTGGAGGCGCTGAGGGTGACCCAGAGACTCTTGTTCTTGCGCATGGTATCCTCCAGGCAGTGGGGCGTGTTCCAGCTGTGGTTGCAGTGCGCCCAGGGCAGCTCCTTCTGGAAGGAGTGGAACAGGTAGTACGTGGCCCAGGCCAGGATGATGATGTAGTAGATATTCAGGAGGGACACAATCACGATGGAAGCATAGCCGATGCCTGCGGGTTGGGCAAACAAGGCAAGCACACGTCACGAGGGAGGCCAGTCCCACCGCGGCCGCTACTCAGCTGCGGCATCCCCAGGACTGGGGCCAGAGGAGCCCTTCAACAGTGACCACCAGAGGAGAGAAGCTGAAAGCATGGATCTTCAGATAAGCCGGGTGGTTGGATGAATCAAAGGATGGATGGAAGAGGAGCTAGAACACTGAGTGGATGTTCGACAGACGGACAGACAGGGGAGTGAACGGATGGATGGATGGTTGGCTGGCTGGCTGGTTAGACGATGGACAGACAGGTGAATGAACAGATGGATGACGAGATGGACGGGTGGCTGGCTGGGTGGTTAGCCAGATGGACAGACAGACAGGTGAGTGAACACATGGGTGGATGAACAGACAGATGGTTGGTTGGTAGACAGTTAGATGGACGGACAGATAGCTGAGATGATGAGTGCTGGATTGCGAGATGAATGTCCGTCTGTCTCACAAGCTTTTGGAGGGCTGTTTGGATGGTGGCTGGCTAGAAATGTGGGCAGATGAACGGATGGACAAATGAGGATGGGCAGGTGAACAGCAGACGGACCGTCTGGTCACTGAGTGGTTTGAGGGCAGAGGGAAAGAGTTATGTGATGACTGAACAGACTCACATCTAGCTCTCTCCCTGCCAATTAAATCGTAACAGTAATGATTTTTAGTGTACACTAATCACTAAGCATAGGACCGATTAAGCTACCGTTCATTTGATGCCGACTATGTATACAAAACACTTTTACATGGCGATGTCGTTCTGTCTTCACAGCAACCCTAAGACGTAATCATGTTCCCATATTTGTTTCACAACTGAAGAAATTGAGGCATAAAGTGACACTCTCAAAGTCACAGGACTATCAAGAGGAGGAAATGGGACTTGACCTCAGACAGAAAGCCGTGTGAAGCTTAGTGCCTGTCTGCTGCCCTCTATCACCAGGCGGCTGCAGGCTGATCCATGCAACAGCCTGGAGAGGCGGCGTGGCGGGCCCGCCTAGCAGCACTGTGTGCCAGGCATGTGCCACGCTTCCCTTCCCCTACCCCTAAGCAGCAGCATCTGCATCACGCCCCTGCTGTGCTCACTGCTGTCTTATGTCAGCTCGGAGGCAAAAGATGTACCCAAGGCTCCAAAAGGTCCAGCAAACAGTAGGTGCTCAAGGAAAATGCGTGAAACAGATACACACTAGGCCCAGGTGACCTGTCCCATACTCACCAGAAAACAAGGGGCAGATCCTCTCCCAGCAGGTGATGCCCCCTTCAGAGGTGTACTGGCCTATGATTATCTCCAGGAAAAACACAGGCAGGCCGCTCCCAAACAGGAAAATAAAATACGGTATTAGAAACGCACCTGTGGAGAGAATGGAATGAGAGTCAGGCTGCCCTGTCAGGACTGACGGAGGAGGTGCTCACACCCATGACCTTCCAGCCAACGAGTCAGAAAGAATAAGTGGGGGTAAAGCCAAATGCAGACCCAGCCAACAAGACCAGGCCCCACTCACCATCTGGTGGGTGTTACCTTCAGCTTGTCCTCCCTCTCAGTATCGTCCCTGTCTTCCCGTTCTCTCAGTTTCTTCCCTCCCTCCCAGCATCTTCATGTCCACCAAGTAGCTTGAGCCTTGGAGCCACTCTGCCTACTGCCTGCCCTCTCATGTCTGTCCCTCTAAGGCCCGCTTGGCCCATGAGACCCATCTCATGTAGCACTTTAGTGGGCCTTTGCCTACCCGCCCCCCCAGGCCTGCCAGGATCTATCTAGGCAGGGTGTGTGGGCAAGGAGCAGGAGGTGGGGGTTTCCAGCTGGGGATGGGACCCGGGAGAGGAATGAGGGCAGAGCATTGGACAGGGGTTCCTACCTGGTGTCCACTAATGGCTTCAGCGGGTCCATAAACCCAAAGAACCTGTGGGCAACTTGGGTCTAGTGTATGTGCTTTGTTCTGGGGAGCGTCTAGGACACTCATCAGAGTCCCAAATGGGCCTGAGACCTACAAAAGGTTAAGAAACCAGGCTCTAAGAAAGGGTCCCCAGAAGGCAGGCCCCCTGACATGGCGGCACACAGCATGCCCGTCTCTGCTGACCAACGAGCCTCTGACAACGGGCAGTCATCAGCAGGGAGCAGCTCCTCCCTAGTCAGTCCTCTTCAAGCTCCTCTCACGGCACCAGTGAGAAAGTCTCCATTGGGTGCTGCCTGACCTTAACACCTCTAACAGAAGACCTGTCAGAAGATTCTAGCTCAGAGCCTTCAGCAGGCAAAAATACGAAACCCAAACCCAAAACCCAAACCCACCAATGAATCAACCTAACCAAGAGGGTCATTATGTGTAAAAAGTATCTTCATGGAATTTTTTTCCCTGAATACCTTTGTGTTGTAGCAAACAAGACTGATTTTTCATTTACAGGGCAACTTCCTTGCTTTTTGGACTACATTAGATGAAGTGAGAAAAGCAAAAGCAAAGACAAAGCAAGGAACAGTTGGAGGCAAGTAGAGATGGGAAATCCATGGAGGGGGCAGGTGAGTGTCTGAGGCTTGGCAGACATGGGTCTGGCCTCACCCCACCTCGGCCAAGATGGCCAACTGGAGAATCAGAGAAAGCAAGGAACCTGCTCAGAACACAAGAGCCTGACAGAACAGCACCCTGATTCTTACTTATGCTCCCCTCCTGTCTCTAAGGGGGACTGGGGGCATGGCAGACTGGCCAGGGCGATGTCAGGCAGGGGCCAAGGAAAAGCAGGGCACAGAGAGGCAACCCACGCTTGGCCCCACCCTCCACCTCCAGTGCCACTCTGTCGGGAGGGGCTCCCTTGCAGCCCAGTCCAGACTTACCTCCACCATTTTTGTAGCAGAGGTACGGGAAACGCCAAACATTGCCCAAACCCACGAAGCCGCCAGCCACGGAGAGCACAAAGTCGATCTTGCTGGACCACTTCTCCCTCTGTGGAGGCTTCCCCTCGGCCTCATCCTCGGGCCGTGTGCCCGGGCTCTTCCCCGGTGAGGGCTTCAGGATGTCCTTGTGGAAGTCTTTCAGACACTGCAGCTTCTCCTTGGTGGCCATCTTGTTTTCTATGGGGAACAAAACAGAAGCAATGTGCAGCTGACAAGGGCCCGCCCGCGTGTCCCAGGCACAACCGTCCCCTCCCCATTCAAGGCCAGCTCCTGCCTATCTAGGCCTGAGGCAGGCACCTGGCACCTGTCCTCTGTCCACTGTGCTGACAACAACATTCTGGGTCATTCAGACTCCCTCAAGAGATGTGGGACCTCGGGACTCAGGTTGAGGGCACTGGGGACACCTGCAATCCACAGAATTGACAGGGTCCATTCCTCAGGCACCTGATGACCAGAAACACTGGGGGGCCCATGTCTGCTGTCCCCAGATGTCATCCATCAGCCTGCCCTGGCCCTGGCACTGTCTTCACAAAATGCAACACACCCTAGGCAGTCCTAGGTACTTTCCCAATAACAGCCTGCCTGCACTCTCTAGAAGCTAACAGATATTATTTTCTAAATTCGGATCTACATTAAAAAAACAGGGCCGGGGCACAGTGGCTCACGCCTATAATCCCAGCACTTTGGTAGGCCGAGGTGAAAGGATGCCTGAGCCCATGGGTTCAAGACCAGCTTGGGCAATTTGGCAAGACCTCATCTCTACAAAAAATCAAAAATTTAGCTGGATGTGGTGGTGTGCACCTGTAGTTCCAGCTACTTGGAAGGCTGAGGCAGAAGCATCGCCTGAGCCCAGCAGGTCAAAGCTGCGGTGGCTATAAGCATGCTACCACACTCCAGCCTGGGCTACAGAGTGAGACTCCGACTCAAAAAAACAAAACAGATACTCTTATTTCATGAATGCCGCACCATAGCACCCAGCCCATGGGGTGCCCGTTTATAAATGTGTACAAAGTGGGTCAATGGATATGAAGAGGAAGGGGGTTTCAGGCTGGAATGAAACAACATATGAGATGGGTTTTCATCCAAGAACAGAAAATGGACATTTAGGAAAATGCATTTGCAATTTATTAGCTGGCTGGATTCTCTACGGCAGAAAAAAATCAGAGATTTGCAGAAAAAAACCGGGTTGGGATTACAAACGAGTGCTCGTGAATCTCCACCCACCCACCTCCTACGGCTCTCTGGGTGTTCCCGCCCCAAGGCCAGCTCAGTAGATCCCATCAGTCGGGCCCCTTGCCCTCTCGTTTCCCATTGGATTCAGCCACTGGGAGGCCCCAGAGAAGGTCGGATTTCCTGAGCCAACTCCTGCAGGACCCCACTGCAGAGGGAGGCCTGCCATCAGCCAAGCACTCCTCTTTCTGTGCTTCCCAAGATCCCCCACACTCAACTGTCCCTGGCAGCCCATGAGGGCCACAGTCACATCAGGGCTGGCCCTCTGCGCATGAGGTGAACGCCACTGGTTCTCCAAGAGCTGACAAGGGTCATCAAGAGCGTTCTGAGTCCTCATCCACAGGGAGAGGACAGAGGTCAAGGCTAGGTCCCCTGCCTTCGAGGGCTGACCCACAACATGGCAGAGGGACACAGAATTCAGATGAGCTGGGAGAAGCCAGAGCTAGAGGGCCTACTCCATCCGCCCCTCTCTGAACCTCAGTTTCCCCATCTGCAGAATTAAAAAGGATGACAGCAAAGGTGGCTGACTTACAGCCAAGCAGCCGGGGAGGGGCCAATACTGAAGTATCAGATTTCAGAAAAAAGTTGAGACTTCTAGGTTATCTTAAAAAACCAGAAGATTAGGATCACGCCACAGTGGGCTCTCAGTCCTCATGGGAGCCACCCTTCCATGGGCACACCCTCAGCTCACCACCCAGCCCACAGGACATGGCGCCCAGCTGGCTCCGTGGGCATCGAGTTTGTCTTCTCGTCAGGACGCCTAATGCTCCCTGAAAACACTGTGTTCATATCCTCACCTCCCTGCTGACCATCCCCTCAACCAGAATAGGGCTCCTGGGGACAAAGACCTCATCTGCCTCGCACACTGCTGTGTTTCCAAGCCTGGCACCATGCCTGGCACGCAGTAGGGTGTCAAGCAAGAGCTGCCTGATTGACAGCTCCCAGAGTGGTATCCACAAGCAGCTGGGAACTGCAAACCCCAGCTCTACCGCTTCCCAAGTTGCCAGGCTCAGAGGCTCACAGGTGTGTGAGTCGGGGCTGCTTGAGGACTTCGGGTGTGAAGAGGGGAAAAGGGGACGTGCCGGCCTGGCCCCAGCCACCGGGCTCACAGGGGCTGTGCTCTGAGCAGCAGAGGCACAAAAGCACAACAAAACCCCTGCGTCCCCCCACGCCTCCTTCCTCTCCCTGGCTGGGGTGGGGGACCCTGATTGTTTCGCTATCTGGCGGCAAGCAGACCAAGAAAGGCTTCCTGGAGCTGCCAGGCAACTCACAGAGCCCTTCCTCTGTCTGCTGGAGCATCCGCGCCGCTGTTCTCTGCCCTGCTCCCTCGGGGCCAGGCGCGGGATTCAGCGGGCCAGCGGCTACTGTAAAAATAGCCGGAGCAGCCAGCATTGTTCCAGCATTAATCTGCACAGCCCCTGATGGTTATCTGGCGGCCCATTGTGGGCTGCTGGGGGGCGCATAATTGGAGGATGTGAGACTCCCTCCCTCGGAGGAAAGGCACTTCTCAGGGAGTCACCCCAAGCTCTGCACCAAGAAGGCTGGGCCCACCCTGCTGGACGAGGTTGGCTGGGCCTTCGCACTGAAGGGGAGGCAGCCAGCTTCTGCTCACGTCCCCAGCTAGGGGAAGGGGCCCTCGTGACCTCACAGGTACTGGGGACTGTAGATGCTTTGTCCCCACTAGAAGCTGAGGTCTGCTTTCCTGTGGCGCTATGTGGTACCCTGTGAGACCCACTTGCCACACTGACACTCAAGAGAACCCACTAGAAACCTGGGGTGAGGGGGCAGCAGCTGGGGTTCTCTAAGGTCCTTTGCTCCAGGCTCCAGTTTTCTACAAAACAAGGCCTCTAGCCCTCTCCACTCAGGACCCCATCATTCCACAGCCTGTAATTAAGCTGGGATGGGAGGGTGGGAGCCTTGAATGGGGCAGAGCAGGGGCCTGTCACGTGCCTGGCATTGTGGGGGTCTCCCCACTCCTCCTTGTCAAGGTGTAACCACCTCTCTACCTACAGGGGCTGCAGTCACAGGGCCACCTGACCTTGGAGAAAACAGCCAGCAGCCCTGCTCCTGCAGATCCCATTCCAGCAAGACCCGCCTGGACATTCCTGGCATCCACCCACATCCCTGTCACCATGGCAACCGCAGCTCCAGCACAGGCATCTGTAGCAGCCTCCTCACAGGTCTCCCTGCTGCTACTGGGCCCACCCCTGTCTGTTCTCAATGCAACAGCTGGAGGCAACTTAGAAAGCATCATCAGATCGTAACACCACCCTCCAGCCTCCAGTCACCCCAGAAGAAAACACCAGCTCCTTACCAGGCCCACCAGGTCTCTACACGAGTCTCTTCTGACCCACTGGCCCCATTCCCCCCGCCCCTTCTGCTTGGGACACAGCCACACAGAACTGCTTTAGTCCCAACCTTCCCACCTGCTGCTGGAACCTCAGTGTAGGAAGCTCCTGGCTCCTCACCCGCTGCCCCAGGTCCTCTAGGGAAGCCTGGCCCCTGGATAAGCCCTGACTCCGAAGCTGAGAATCACTTCCTGGCAAGGCGACCCCAAGCAAATTACTCGACCATTCTGGTCCTCAGTGTTCTCTGCTGTGAAATGGGGGTAACTGCGCCCAACTTGTGGGGCACTGTGAGGGTTAAATGAGGGGGGAAAGAAAGTGCTTAGGACAGTAGAGGGCACACAAGTACTCCCAAAACAGGAGCTGATACTGTGACTGCTGTGATTACTGCTTGATTATTACCAGGCCCACCCCGACCTTGGGGCATACAGAGCCTTCGTCCTAGTCCTACCAGGTGAGATCGGCAAGGCCCAGAGACAAGTGGCACTCCAAGGTCACTCAGCTGGTAGTGACAGTGACAATGATGCTATGCCCAAACCCTTGGTTATGTCTCTGCAGTCGAGGCTCAGTCTGACCTCAGACAACACCTTCCCTGGAGTTCCTGGAGTACCTCTGTGCATGTCTCGGCCTCACAATTAGGCCATCACCCCGCCACAACTGGCACCCCTCAGAGCAGGCATGCTCAGAAGCCAGTCCCCTTCCACAGGCTCCCAGCAGCCTGCTTCCTTGTGTCTGCTGACCAGAGCTGTTTTCCTTGGCAATGAGCCCAGGGTTATTTTGTAGTGGCCCAAGATACATAATTCCCCATTTTAAGAGCTTCCTCTTTGGTTATTACAGCTACAAGCAATTAGAATTGACTCTATACAGAGGCTCTGGGACGAAGCTTCCCTCACCACCCAGTTGAATGCTCTCTCTGTCTCTGTTCCAGGGGTGGCAGCCAGAGCCAGCCATGCCTGAAGACTGACTTACAGATCACCTGGTCAGATCTGGCATGTACACGGCCATATTTAACCCAGTGTCAGTGACACAGTGAATTTCTAAGATATTCTTTTGTTCCCTCCCTGTTTAAAACTATCATATTTTTTTGGCTGGGTGTGGTGGCTCACACCTGTAAACCCTGCACTTCAGGAGGCTGAGGCAGGAGGATTGCTTGAGCCCAGGAATTCAAGACAACCTGGGCAATATAGAGAGACCTGGTCCCTACAAAAAAAAAATCAAAGAAATTAGCCGGGCATAAGTAATGCCTGTAGTCCCAAGTCTGTAGGTCTGATGGGCTCCCAGCTACTTGGGAGGCTGAGGCGAGAGGACCACTTAAGCCCAGGAGTTTAAGGCTATGGTGAGCCATGATCATGCCACTGCCCTCCAGCCTTGGCAACACAGTGAGACCTCAACTCAAAAAAACAAAAACACAAACCTTCCAGATTTCGGAGTTCCTACTCTGCTGAGCTGTTTATAAACACGATTTCCTACTCCCTCAACACCCTCACTGTGGAAGCAGCTGTGGTACGTTTGCAGATGAGGGAAGCTGAGGCTCCCACAGGAAGTGAGTGGCCTGGCTGAGGCTCACCCTGGGTGTGAAGGAGGGGGGTCCCAGGAGAATCC